CTAGGCTGCCACCACACAGGTGAGCAACAGAGGCCCTAGGTAGACAACTCTGCAGTGGCTAGAAACCACGAAGGACAGGCCCGCCTCTCCTGGAGGGTGGGGCAGCAGTGGTGTTAACGGTAGCAGTGTGTGCGTGGGGAGGGGGTAGAGAGGCCTCCACTTCCCCCTGAGAGAGGGTGTGTTGAGGGGGGGGTTCCCCAGTGAGTAAGAGCTCAATGTGGGCAACAACAGGAAGCGTAGGGTGCTGGGTGGCAGGAAGTGGGGCTGACTGTTGCTGGTTCCTCAGATGGGGGAGGGGGACTGGGCCAGGCTGTCGGCAGAAGAACCCTGGGAGGCCAAGACCCACACGTCTAGTGATTCCATCCCCTTCAGTGTTCCTTCTTCCGAGGAAACTCAGGCTTCTTACCAGCTTATCAGCTAGGTCACCTTGGGCAAACGACTTAACCGCTCTGTGCCTCAGTTTCCCACCTGTAAAACGGGGATTATAATAGTATCTATCCACCTTGTAGGCTCATTGTTGTGGTTTAAATGAGGTAATAGATGTAAAGCACTTAGAATGGCACCTAGCACAGGGCAAGCGATGTGGGGGTGTCGTTGTTATCCTTCTCCTCCTCCTCCTGCTAGCCTGCATTATACTGGCAGTGTCTGCCATCCTGGCTCCTACCCTGTTGGCCCTTGTCCCTGCCGTGGGGACCCCTGAACCCCAAAGGGAGAAGCTCTTAGTTTTTTGGGGATTCCAGCACCGTATCCTAGGACTGAGTCACCCCACAGCCCTCCTATAAGCCTGGAATTGTTTATAAGAGTCCCAGAAAATCTATATTCTGGAATTTTTTAAGTGGATAAAATGGGTTGTTTTTGGAGTTGCACTGACAGCTCTAGAACCAAGGTGGAGGCCATACAGGGGTTGGGGGTGGGAGAGGGGCAAGTAGGGGCCAGGGCACAGGGTGAGGAACACCGGCGGGGCTGGTTGGGGACTGGGGTTGGTGCCCAAGTTCAGGGGCATCCTGGGACTTGCAGGGCCAGGCCTCCTGTGGAGAGGGTGGGCAGGTGGGTTGGGACGCAGATTCAGCTCAGGCTGAAAGTGGAACTGGCAGGTGTGGCTGTGTCCAGCTGCAGGTGGAGCCCCCTCTGTCTCCTGGAACCCTGCTCCAGATGGCACCACTGGTTGGGGGAGGGTGGTATGAGCCTGCGAGGGGCTGGTCTTTGGTGAGTGGAGGGTGGGGCCCCCCCTTTGGAACCCAGGGAGGTAGGGGCAGGGAGGGAGGAGAATGGTCCATACATTCTAGTAGAAAGATTTGGGGAACCAGCTCCTTTTCTTGGCCACACTCCAAAACATGACTCTTATCTGCCTCTTTGTCTGACCCAAAGCACTAACAGGGGCAGGGAAAGTGGGTCAAGGGATTAGTTAAGTTTTGGGCCAAGTTTAGGTTTTACCTGGATGTTTTCACCAACTTCTGCTCACTGCATGCCCCCCACCCCTGCACCTTGGGCCTTCCCTGGACCCCCTCCTCTCTGTGGAATGCCTTCTGCATAGTGTACTGCAGGTGAAGGAGATTATTCCATCAGAACACAGCTTCTCACTGAGTGTCCCCAGCAGCTCTGTGAGGCTGTGAGGCAGAGGGAGCGTGCCCATTTTATGGAGAAAGAAGCTGAGGCTCCGAGGGGCAAAGTAGCTGTAGGGCTGGGGAGTCCAGAGCTTGGGCCTTCTGAATCCAGTCCTGGTTCCTCCGTGTCATAGCTGCCCCTCCTGCTCTCTGCCTACCTACCTCTGCCCCTCCTGCTCTCTGCCCCCTACCTGCTCTGCCTGCCCCTTCTGGTCCCATCTGAGCACTGTCAGCCAACCTCCTACTTGCCCCTCCCGGCCCCACCCCTGTGCTGAGGGCCTGGCTCCGGGGGGCTGTTCCTGCTTTCCAGGGTGGCCTCACCCCACCCCGAGTAAGTGGCAGCCACTGGCCCCTCCCTCACTCCCTGGGGTGCCTGTCTCCTCAGTGAGTATGACCGTAGAGCAGCTGCTAATTAGTGCTCAGAGCTGTCAGAGCTATTTCTGATTTCCGAGCCTAAATTTAGCCTGTCTCGCAGGCTGACATGTGGGCCCAGGAGCCTGAGGAGGCCCAGGTGGGGAAGGGGCAAAGGGGCGTCCTGCCCTCCGCCACTGCCCAGAGCTGTCTGAGGTCTGGACAGGTGCACCAGTCCTGTAATTGAGGGAAGGAAGCCCCCAATCCCTGTAATAACCACAGGCCTGTCCTGGGGGTGCTGAGTGATGGTTCAGAGTCAGCTCTGGGCTCAAAGTCTGGCTCTGCTCTTACTGGCTGTGCAACCTTGGGCAGGTCACTAACCCAGTCTGTGTCTACACCTGTACCAAAACCAAACTCATTGCCATAGAGTTATTCTGACTCATGGTAATGCCGTGTGTTACAGTGTAGTACTGCTTCATAGGTTTTTTTGGCTGTAATCTTTGTGGAAGGAGCCCTTGTGGTGCTTAGCTGCTAACTGAAAGTTGGCAGTTCGAACCTACTTAGCGGTGCTGCGGGAGAAAGACCTGGCGATCTACTCCAGTGAAGATTACAGCCTACAAAACCCCATGAAGCAGTTCTACTCTGTCATGTGGGGTTGCTATGAGTCAGAATCCGCTTGACGGCACTCAACAACAACAACAATCTTTATGGAAGCAGTTCGCCAAGACTTTCTTCCATGGTGCTGCTGGATGGGTTCAAACTGCTGACCTTTAGGTTAACAGCTAATTGCAGACCACTTGCACCACCTAGGCTCCTTCCTACGCCTGTAGAGTGGGAATAATAATGGTGTCTAGTCATGGCTGGAGAGCCCTGGTGGTGCAGTGGTTAAGAGTTTGGCTGCTAACTGAAAGGTCAGCAGTTCGAATCCACCAGCTGCTCCTTGGAAACCCTATGAGGCAGTTCTACCCTGTCCTATACGGTCACTATGAGTCGGAACTGACTTAATTTGTTTTTTTTGTTTTTTTAGTAATGGTTGTGTGGGGGGACCGAGGTCACTGGTACAAAGGGCTTAGAGCAGTGGTGGGCATTGAGGGAAAGTCAGCTTCTGTGATGGTTGTGGTTATCACCGTTATGGTGGAAGTGCTTTCTGGGGTGCAGGGGCCATTCCAGGAGCCAGTCAAGTTGCTGGGGGTGTGTGAGGGTTCAGAAAGATCCATATTGGGGAGCAGCTGTCCTCTCAGGCTCAGATGCTGGGGCTTGGCCCTTCCTCTTGCTCCTCTGTTCTCCTTCCCCACCACCATCTTCTTCCTCTGGAGCCACAGGCTCTAGTTTTCCCCCCAGCTTCCCAAGCACTGCTTGCCTTCTCTCCCTCCTTCCTCCTTTCCCCTCAGCCTTGCTCCCCACCTTGGCCCTGCTCTCACCCCAAGTCTCTGTGGGCTGGTAATGTATCTGGGAGCACTAGGGAGAGAGACAGAGAATGGCCCCAGGGAGGCCTCTTTGGCAAAATGGGACCCTCCCCATGGCTCTCAGGCCCCTTCCTGGGCAGCCCCTTCCGTGTCATAACAAGCGCTGTCCTGGCAGTTGGTGGGTTGGGGGATGGGAGGGCGCCCGAAGAGACAGCTGAGACAGCGCAGTTTCCTCAATCCAGGCTTAATTTCGCAACAGGGGAGAGAGAAAGCGATGACATACTCCCAGCCCCAGCCAGCCTGGGAGTGCCCAGTGGATGGGCAGTTTCACCTCTCAAGTGGGGCCCTCAGCTGGAAAGCTTAAGCAATGAGGGCTGAGAGCACCCAGCTTCCTGTTGTCTGGGCTGACCCAAGGCAGTGATTTTTGGGGTGAGGTCTGGCCAGAGCCCCAGTACTAGGTCCAGCACCTCAGAGAGGAAGCTGGCTGAGGAGCCTCGGGTGGGTGTGGCCCCTGTCTGCTCCGGCTGTGGCCTCTTGAGGGTCACCTGACTGAAGGGACGTCATGTGAGCCACCAGAGCCCACAGCAGGAGATTTCATAGCTCTGGGTGGGGCTTCCACATCCCCAGCTGAGACCCTGGCTTAACTCAGAGCTCTTTGAGGGCAAGAACTGTCTTTTGGGGCCTGACACATCGTAGGCCCTCAATAAAGCAGGGGTTTACTGGATTGGGGTAAACTGGCTTTGTCTTCTGGGTCTCTCAGGGAGAGGCTCCAAGTCTTGGGGGTCCAGGGAGCCCCTCATGTTGTGATACCTGGTTGATTCTGCAGCCCCAGGTTGGGCCCTCTGCCTGCCCTGTGGGGGAGAAGTTTGACTGAGACACCATACCCCTGTCATCTGTGGCTGTGTGAGGAGGGCCCAGGCAGGCTACTGTTGACCTTTCTTCAGTTCTGAGGGAAGTCCCGGCCTGGGCCACAGCACTCCAGGCCCAGCGTGCTGGCTGGGGAGATCCTGTGGCCGGGTGACCTTCCCCCCGTGAAATCCCCTTCCCTCTTGGAACCATGATGTACCTGCCTGGAATCCCCGGCCTACCTGACCCATCTGACCTCAGCTCCAGGCCCCCTCTCCTCACTTCCCAGTGACCAGGTGGGAGGGGGCCCTCTGCTCTCCCCACTGAGAGGTTTTCTGGTGTTTGTGAGGCACTGTGCCCTGGGCTGGGTGCATGTACACGTGGTGACTGGTGGCACATGGAATGGCACAATGTTCATGCCTGGCCACACTTGGGCCTGGCTGGGGGTGACCCCTCTGTTATCTTCCCACTCAAATGGGGGAAGAGATGTTACCTGCATATCACAGAGGGGGATGCTGGGGCCCAGAGGTGTCTGAGGTCCCGGTGAGCTGGGCTGAGAACCTCTGTTCCTGCCTCTACACCCTGAGTTCCAGGAGGCAATGTGGAGGGGACAGAGTCCAGGCCTGGGTAACGCTACCTGAAAGTACTCCAAGGGTGAGAAGACGATGGGGAATCGTGTGTGAAACACCTACTAGGGAGCTGGGCCCTTTGTGGTCCCGGAATGCCCATTCCCCACTTCCCCTGCATTGGGGCCCCAGGCTCAGTGGTCTTTACTTTGTCCTCCCCTCCCCAGAACTGCATGAACTTGCCCCCGGACAAGGTGCAGCTACTGAGCCAGTATGACAACGAGAAGAAGTGGGAACTCATCTGTGATCAGGTGAGTGCCAGCACAGCTCCGTGCCCCTACCTCCCACCCTTGGGTGTCCTGCCCCGCCCTGGCTAGGCTGGGGCTGCCTGGAGAAGGGACACCGCCACACTGCCCATGGGCTAGCATTGCATCTGGGGAGGGTGCTGGCAGATCTGCTGTCTCTTGGATCCACCTCTCTTTTGGACATGTGGCCTCCCCAGAGAGCCTGTGAGTCAGAAGCAGGGCTGGAGCTGCCTCTGCTGAGCTGGCAGGGCTGGTCCAGGGTACCGGCCAGCATGGCCAGGGCCATGTCACCATCCTTCTGGCTGAGTTTCCTGGAACAGCCTCCCTTGACCCTCCACCCCAGGGATGGACATCTTCATTTGGCCACATGGGACATGGGGGAGAAGGGGCAGGAACCCCTGTCCTCCTTTTACCTGGGGCCCAGAGGGGCTGTGGCCTTCCCAAGGTCACTCCCGAGTGGTGGAGTGGGGACCTGAACCCCCATCTCTTGGTGCTGGGTCTGGGCTCATGGGCCTATCACTTCATGGCTCACTCACTGCTCCTGCCCTCCAGCTCTGGGCTGCTGTCTGGCAGCACAGAGGACCCCTCTCCCACTGCTGGGCAGGTGGGGCCTGGCTGCTGCAGTAATTTGGTAAGGGAGGGAGGTGGGGAGCAGCCTTCAAGCCTGTGGCTGTGGAGGCTGGAGGTAGGGCGTTGGGGAGCAGGGAGCCTCCCCTGGGAGCCAGGGCTGGGCCTCGCCTCCTGTAATGGATGGGATGGGATGGGTGAGCTGGCCGGGCAGGAGTCCGGGGGTAAGGGCTGGGCATGGAAAGAGGGTGGGGAGCTGACTCCAGAGACCTTGGGACTGTAGTTGGGGGCCGGCATCTCAGAGGTTGGGGACTTAAAAGCCTGGGAGAAGTAGGAGGTTAGGGGGATGGCTGAGGTGTCTGAGGAGTCTAGGTGGGGAAGGACAGGAGCTCCTCCAGTTGGGAGCCTCTGCTGTGGTCCCTGCCCCTTTGTTCAAGAGGCTGCCTGAGCTGGGGGCAGGCCAGGGGGAGCCGGGAGTTGCTTTGTTGAACACAAATGAGCACACACAGAGGTACCTGCCAACACAGGAACCTAGGTGAGCAGGACAGCTGGGATGGAGTCCTGGGGAAGGAGCCTTCAGCCTGCCAAGGAGCTAGGCTGGGGGTGATGGTGGGCTCTGGCCCTCAGTGACCCCTTCATACAGGCCCCTCCATGGCGTTTTTCCTTCCTGTCCCCCAAGGCCTAGCTGGGGTGTGGTCCAGGGAGGGCAGGGGGCTGGGAGGGTGCCACCTAGTGACCAGTCTGAGTGCCCCCCCGCCAGGGGTATCCATGACAGAACTGACCTCTCCATGCCCCACTGCAGAGCTGTGCTAGGGTGTGGCCTGCGAGGCTCAGGACGGGGAGTGGGGGGTGGGCACTTAAATTGGCCTGGTGGACTGCTTGGGTTCATGCCTTGGTAGTTCAAAGTGGTCTTAAGACAGCCTGGGACCTCAGTCAGAGCTGAGAATGGGGCACTGGGGTGACGGCTGGGGTAGCTCTGCTGGTTCCCTGTACACCCCATTCCCTCTCCCCAGGAGCGGTTTCAAGTCAAGAACCCCCCTGCAGCCTATATCCAGAAGCTGAAGAGCTACCTGGATACTGGTGGGGTCAGCCGGAAGGTGGCAGCTGATTGGATGCCCAACTTGGGGGTATATGTCTCCCCTTTTTCCTCTGTCCCTTTTCCCCTGCGCCTCCCAAGCTCTGGGCAGCTGAAGTGACTGCGTATAAATGTACACTTTTCTGTGGGCCTGTGTGGGGACATGTATGAGTATGTGTGTATTTATAGGGGTTGGAGAGTGCCCTGGACGTGTACCTTTACAGGTTCCTCTGAGCATCCTGTATGTGCATACATGAGTACACTTCTGTGTACTCTTGTGTGTGCATGTGTGTGCCTTGTGTGTCCATGCATGGATTCATCTGTGTACTGTGTGTACTTTTGTGTTTGTGTATGAATGTGAACATGCGTTTGTGTGTACCCTTGTACGCATATATAGGTATGTGTATGATGCGTGTTGTGTTCGGTATGTGTGTACCCCATGTGTCATGTCCGTGCATGAATATGTGTGTACCCTGTGTGTCCTGTACAGATGGATGGATATGTGTATACCCTGTACACATAGGATGTCCGTGTATGGATGTGGGTGTGTATTTTGTGTATGGATGTATGAGTATCCCATGTGTATATCCAGGGTGCTCATATATGAATGTATACGTGTGTGTGTGCTCGAGATGTTCATGTATGGATGTGTGTGTGTACCCTGTGTGTGCTTGTATGGAGATATGTATAAGTCTCTGTGCACCACGTGTCCGAGTATGAATGTGTGTATGCGTGTGTGTGCCTTGTGTATCTGAGTATGGATGTGTGTGTGTGTGCCCTGTCTATCTGAGCATAGATGTGTGTGTGTGTGCCCTGTGTATCCGAGTATGGGTGTGTGTGTGTGCCCTGTGTATCTGAGTATGGATGTGTATGTGTGTGCATACCATGTGTGTCTAAGCATAGATATGTGTGTGTGTGTGTGCCCTGTGTATCTGAGCATAGATGTGTGTGTGTGTGCCCTGTGTATCCGAGCATAGATGTGTGTGTGTGTACCCTGTCTATCTGAGTATGGGTGTGTGTGTGCTCTGTGTATCCGAGCATGGATATGTGTGTGTGTGCATGCCATGTGTGTCTAAGCATAGATGTGTGTGTGTGTGTGCCCTGTGTATCCAAACATAGATGTGTGTGTGTGTGTGTGCCCTGTGTATCCGAGCATAGATGTGTGTGTGTGTGCCCTGTGTATCTGAGTATGGATGTGTGTGTGTGTGTGTGTGCCCTGTGTATCTGATCATAGATGTGTGTGTGTGTGCCCTGTGTATCTGAGTGTGGCTGTGTGTGTATGTGTGTATACCCTGTGTATCCGAGTATGGGTTGTGTGTGTGCCCTGTGTATCTGAGCATGGCTGTGTGTGTATGTGTGTATACCCTGTGTATCCAAGTATGGGGGTGTGTGTGTGCCCTGTGCATCCGAGCATGGATGTGTGGTTTGCACCCGATGTGTCTGTGTATGGGGGAGTATGTATAGCTTGTGAATGCTTATTCAGCTGGACAGGTGTGTGGAGGTCGTGGGGGAGGCCGTGCGTGAAAGGCCATGTGTCTAGTGTGGGTGTGTGGGGGTGGCTGCCGCCTCAGGGTTCGGTGGGCCTGTGAGAGGCCTGGGCTCCCCCCACCAGGCTGCCCTGTTTTGACCCCTAGTTTAAGCGACGAGTTCAGGAGTCCACACAGGTTCTGCGGGAGCTGGAGATCTCCCTGAGGACAAACCACATTGGGTGAGCGAGGGGCTCACACCCCCTCTCTGGGGCCCCAGGAGAGCTCTATCTCCAGGCAGCCCTGGGCTTCCCCTTACCCACCCTGCACAGGGCTGTCTGTGCCTGTGGACCCCTGGGGTGGGTGTCTGGAAGGCTTCCCCACCTCCTTCCCTGGCCCACCTCTGACCCTCATCTCAATAATGCTTGGGCTGTACTTCCTGGCCAGCCCCTAGCATCCTGGGTCTTCTGAGCCGGGGCTTGTGGTGTCTCCCTGAGGGAGGGGCACCCTGGGGCTCTTGCATGGCCATTACCTGCCCAGTCTGGGCAGGCCCTCCCTCCTGGCTGGGACTCAGGGAGCCCTGTGCCCCGTAGGTGGGTGCAGGAGTTTCTCAATGAGGAGAACCGTGGCCTGGATGTGCTGCTTGAGTATCTGGCCTTTGCTCAGTGCTCCGTCACGTAAGCACCCCTGTGTTCACCCCCCTGCCCATACGCCACACCTTACAGCCTAACACTTCCCTGCACCTTGCCCGTTCCTCTGGCCTGCTCCAGGCAGCACAGCCCCAGCCCACCCTGGAACACTGTGCTTGGCATTGAACGATCCCCTTCTCAAAGGCCTGACCTGGACAGGGAGGGACATAGCCTAGGGTGCCACCTGGGACCTGGGGGACATCCCATTTGCGCATTCTTTTATTCCACCCTCCCCATGCCCCTTCCCCCTGCTATGCCCAGCCCACTGCCAAGAACACAGCCTCCTCCCCACCCCAGCCTCTCCTCAGGCCTGTTTCTCTTCCTTCAGTTTCCTCCACCCCTCTCTTAAGCGCCCCTACAGCGTTGGCTTCCAACCCCACTGCATTGTCCCCTGCAGGTATGACATGGAGAGCACAGACAACGGGGCCCCCAGCTCGGAGAAGAGCAAGCCCCTGGACCAGTCAGTGGAGGATCTCATCAAGGGTCCCCCCTCATCTTGCCCACCACAGCCCAAGAGTCGCCACCTGACCATCAAGTACGTGTGCCCCATGGCAGGTGGTAGGAGGATGGAGAATTCACCCCTACACCCCTACATCCAGCCAGCCCACCTAGCATCCCTGGGGTGGTGGGAGGGATAACCAGGCCCTGGGAGCAGAATTAGGGCCACATATAGGGCTTGGCTCACAGGTGTGTCAGAAACCATTGGGATGGGCACCTAGGGGCTGGGATCTGCCTGGGTCTGGGATTAGGAGAGGGTTTCTGGGTCATTGGGGCCCATTTGTACCCATCTAACCCCCTGTTTTCTCCCATGTGGCCTCCAGATGCCCCCCTTCTCCCCGGTACGTAGCCCCCTGGGGGCAAGTGCATGCTTGGCTGGCTCCCTGGAATGGTGCGGGGCTGGGTGAGGTGATTGATTGATGTCCCAGGTTCAGCTGCTGTGGATAGGCCACCCCACCCAACTCCACGCAGGAAACGGCCCTGGAGTATCGTGTGGACCCTCAGCTTCCTCCCTTCCCACTTTGGGTCTAGGGGAGCACCTTCACATTAAGCTCCAAACACTCACAGTGTGTTCATTCATTCATTCCACAAACATTTTTTAGCACTTACTATGTATCAGGCACTGTGGCGGGCGCTCAGGAGACAGATTAGCCTGTGATAGGGGGCCCACAGTCTAGTGGGGGACAATTCAGTGTGACAGGCTGTCACGGAGATATGACTGGGAGCTCTGAGAAGGGACGTGGCCACTACTTGGGGCATCAGGAAGGCTTCCCAGAAGAGGTGACACTGGAATTTGTCTTGCAGATGAAGAGACTTTATAGGCAGTGATGTGGGCAGGGAAGGGCATTCCAGGCAGAAGGAATGACATGGACAAAGACTTGGAATGTGGCAGGACAATGGGAGACTCAACTGGGTGGTGGCAGGGCCTCTCAGTATTGTTGGAAATATGATAGGATCATCAAAACGACCTGACACATGGAAGTCACAATTGACTGTTCTCCTTCAGTGAAAACATCACACATTTTTTGGCAAATAACAATTGCACACACTCGTATAGTACTTGCTATGTGCCAGGTACTGTTCTGAGCATTTAATACATTTACTTATTTTATAGTCCCAAAAACTCTATCAAGAAGGTATAGCTATTACCATTCCTATTTTATAAATGAGGAAACTGAGGCCCAGAAAGGTGAAGAAATTTGCCTAGTAAGTGGTGGAGCTGGGGTTTGAACCTACGTACTCCGAATTCAAAATCTGCCTCTCAAGACTGAAGATAAGCCCAAGTGGCCATGAGCACCACCTTGTGGAGAACCCTTTCATGGCTGTTTCCAAGCTATGGCTGTCTTTTCCCTCCATAGGCTCTCTACCCCAACTACACAGCAACCCTTTTTAATGCCCTATTACTGTTAATGGTCTTTGCTTCCCTGACACTTTTCTTCTCCCCCCAGGCCTAGGGACTGAGGAGCCCTACCTGCCTTTAGCTGGCCTCTTTTGTTGGGTGGATGGGAAGTTGTGGCCTAGGGTTCCAGCGTCCATCTGAGTGACTGGGGGAATGGGAAGTGAGGACTCAGGACTCTGACCCCTGCTGCTCTCCTCCACCCCACGCAGGCTGAACCCAGCCCACAGCAGGAAAACTCTGAGGAATTCCCGTATTGTCAGCCGGAAGGACGACGTCCATGTCTGCATCATGTGCTTGCGTGCCATTATGAACTACCAGGTGGGCTGCTGGGCATGGGGACTGGAAGGTCCCGGAACCAGGCCTGTCCTTATTAGGGGCTGCCGAGGCTGCTGAGGTTCTAGGACCAACTGTTCCCCTACCCCATCATCCACTGGGGAGCCTGGGATCTGGGCTGTTGGCTCAGCGTCTTCAGGTTGACGAGTCTTGAGGGGAGGCCCAGATTTCTGCTGCCTCCTTGTCAGCACCTCTTGAGCACCTCCAGTTGTGGCCAGAGATGATGGGTGTGCCTCACGTGGGGACTTAGACACACATACCAAGACGGGCTGGACAGTGAGGCCACAGCAGACAGCAGCCTGTGCGTCTTTAGTTTGGAGGAACAAATTGGTGAAGTGGGCCCTCCCTCACTTAGCTGGCCTTTGAGGATTCACTATGTCCAAGATGCTTTAGAAAAGACAAAGGGATTTAAAAAGAGGGGCAGAGCCAGGCTTTGGCTATCGCAGAAGAGGGTGTAGTTGGACATAAAGAACTTTCCAAGCTTGAGGGCAGTTAAAGACCAGAATGGCATGGCACTGGCTCTTCTGAAGGTGCTGGGCAGAAGGTGTTAACAGTCCTGGGGGTCTGCCTGGAGGAGCTGACCTCTTCTCTCTCCCCAGTCCGGCTTCAGCCTTGTCATGAACCATCCCGCCTGTGTCAATGAGATTGCTCTGAGCCTCAACAACAAGAACCCCAGGTGAGGTCCACACCCCTCCTTTCTTCATGTTTAGACTCCTCCTATTTAACCCCTTGCCTACTCTGTCCCTCAATTCTCAGGACTACTGCCCAGACTCATTCTACCCCCACCATCAGCTCCTCTATTCTCCCTCGAGCCCGGCCCCCCTGCTCCTTGCTGAGGAGCCCACCATCAGCTCCCCTGTCCTCGCCAGCTGTGTCCACCCTTGCTGCAGAGCCTGCCTATTCTCAAGGGACAATCTGTCCCTTCTCTCCCCAGAACCAAGGCTCTGGTGCTGGAGCTGCTGGCAGCTGTGTGCCTGGTGCGGGGGGGACACGACATCATCCTCGCGGCCTTTGACAACTTCAAGGAGGTACTGGGAACCACCTCGCCCACGCGCAAACATGTGCTTGCCACTGTGGTGGGCTTGGAGTCCCATTGCCAACAGTTGTTGCCTCTGCTGGGGGCAGCTAAGCATATCGGGTGGGCATTTGGGGAGCACAGGGTGGGGAGAAGTTTTGAAGGGAAGGTGCAGGATCAGGTAGGTACACTGCCTGGGGCCACGGGTATAACTGCCGGAGCTGCTGAACCTCTGACCCTCAGCTTTGCCAGAGCCAAACTGAACCCGATCCACACGTACATCCGGAGTTGCTGACTCTGGGTAACAGGCTCAGGAGAAGTAAATGCAAGACATATGATGCATATGGGGGGATACGTTCATTCATTCATTTGATGAGTATTTCCTGAAGCGCCTAATTGTGTCAGGCACAGGAGCGGACACTTGGGATACATCAGTGAACCAAAGAAACAAAGTGGGGGAGACAGACAATAACAATACAACAAACAAGTAAATTACATAGTGTGTTAGAAAGTGATCAATGCTCTGGGAAAGAAAATTGTGCAGGGTAAGAGCAGAGACACTGTGGGGGAGGGGGACTGTTTGCGGGGTGGTCAGGGAAGGTCTCATTGAGGTGAGGTTTCAGCAAAGCTGTGAAGGAAGTGAGGGACTTAGTGCAGTGGCTATCTGGATAAGAGCACTCCAGACAGATGGAAGAGCAAATGCAAACGCCCTGAGGTGGCTGTGTGCCAGGACGCCACTGTCACCAGAGTGGAGTAAATGAGGGGGAAAGTAGGAGGGGAGGTGGAGAAGAAATGGAAGGCTGAGCTCTGTGATCAAGTTCTGTAGGGCCCACTTGCCTTGGACCTTGGGTCCCATGGCTGGTGGGACACTTGGGTTTGGCATCAGTATTTGGGTAAGCACAGTCCAACCTGGCAGCTGACCAGCTGTGCTAGAAAAGGGGTCCTCAGAGCTCCTGGGGGGTGATGGTGGCAGCCTGCCAGCAGGAGAGGGTATACTTGCTGTTATTGGGTAGGGGGTGGGATACATTTGCATGCAATTTGCGTAGGTTTCCTTGTTGAACTAATCTCTCACCTCCACCTGAGGACCAAAGGAATGATCCATGTCTGGACCCCCTCCTGGGTGGTGCCATAGAGACCAATTTCCCAGGCTTATCTCCAATACGGGGATGGTCTTGAGGGCAGGAGGATACTAGGTAGCTGCAGTCTGTTGGTGAACACAGGAAGCTCTCTCTTAGATCTGTCCTGTGAGAATGCAGAGTGGGGCGGGGGGAGGTCAGGTTTGCCTCTGGGGGTAGGGTGCCCAGGCCCTCAGTGACAGCTATTCCCCTCCACCCAGGTGTGTGGGGAGCAGCACCGCTTTGAGAAGCTGATGGAATATTTCCGGAATGAGGACAGCAACATCGACTTCATGGTGAGCTCAGTAGCTCAGCGGGCTTAGGCCTGGGCAGGGCCACTCTCGGGAGCAGGGAGCACCTAGGGGCCTGGGTAGATGGGGTCTGGGCCCTGCCCTTGCAAAGCCTGAGGACTAAGTGGTCAGCGTGGGGGGAGAGGTGAATGGCAGAGTGGGGCGGGGGGCTGGGTTAGTGGAGAAAGATATGTGGAGAGGGAGGAAGACTTGGGAGTAAATGGGGGATGGAAGACACTGAGCAACACCACCCAGAAGATCATACACCTGCTCATGTCTCCTGCCCCCCCAGGTGGCCTGCATGCAATTCATCAACATTGTGGTACACTCAGTGGAGAATATGAACTTCCGTGTCTTCCTGCAATATGAGTTCACCCACCTGGGTCTGGACTTGTACTTGGAGGTGAGCCCTACATGCCCCTGGCCTTAACCACTCACTTGTGGCAGAGTATGGCTCAGTGGTTAGCAGCATGGGTGCTGGGGTCAGGCAGACCTTGGTTCAAATCCGGGCTCTGCCACTTCCTAGCCATGTGACCTTGGATAGGCCTCGTCCTGGCTCTGAAACTCAGTGTTCTCATCTGTACAATAGGAGAATCACAGAGATAATAATGACTCTAAATATGTAGAACAGTACTGGGCACCTGGGTACCTAGTGCACGGAGCTGTTTTTGCAGGCACTGGATCAGGCTCTAGGGGGTCCTGGGTCTGACTGTGGGAGCACCAGCCTCAGACAGGTGCTCTGACGCCAGTGCATAATGGGGAGGGACGAGATACTGGGTCAAAGTGGGAGCCAGATCACCTAGCCAGGTCCAGGCCCTGGCTGAGAGCTTTGCTCTGGGGAAGGTGCACAGAGAAGCTTGATGCTTCCCGGCCCAGCCGGAGCAGAGAAGCTGCAGCTTCTTCCCCGATTCCTTTGGGAGGCTTCCTGGAGGAGTGGAGGCTTGGGGATTGGATTTTTGAAAGCCAAGATGAACAAAAGGTGAAAAGCAGACTAGGGTGGTATATCCATACAATGAGATATTATTCAGCCATAAAAAGGAATGAAGTACCAATAGATGCTACAACATGGATGAACCTTGAAAACATTATGCCAAGTAACAGAAGCCAGACACAAAAGACCACATACTGGATGATTCAGTTGATATGAAATTTCCAGAATAGACAAATCCTAGAGACAGAAAGCAGATTAGTGGTTGCCTAGGGCTTGGGGAGAGAGAGGAATAGGGATGAGTGATGAAATGATCAGATATTAGATAGTGGTCATGGTTGCACAACCTTTTGAATCTATTAAAAACCACTAAATTGTAGACTTTATTTATTTTTAAAACTTTTTAATGTATTTTAGATGAGGGTTTACAGAGCAAATTAGTTTCTCAGTAAACAATTAATACACATATTGTTTTGTGACACTGGTTGCCACCCCCACGGCATGCCAACACTCTCCCCTTCTCGACCTTGGGTTCCCCATTACCTGCTTTCCTGCCCCCTCCTGCCTTCTCGTCATTGCCCCTGGGCTGGTGTGCCCATTTAGTCTTGTTTTGTTTTATGGGCCTGTCTTATCTTTAGCTGAAGGGTGAACCTCAGGAGAGACTTCATTACTGAGTTAAAAAGGAGCCTTAGGGCTATAGTCTCAGGGTTTCTCCAGTCTCTGTCTAGTCTTTTTTTTGTCAGTTAGAATGTTGTCCTACATTTTTCTCTAGCTCTGTTGGGGACCCTCTATTGTGATCCTTGTCAGAGTAGTTGGTGGTGGTAGCTGGGCACCATCTAGTTGTGCTGGACTCAGTCTGGTGGAGGCTGTGGTACTTGTTAAACTGTACACTTTAAAATGGTGAATGTTATGATATGTGAAGTGTCGCTCAATAAAAAAATAAAGGAGGGAAAAAAAGCAAGCTAGGGCTCAGGCCCCTTCTTCTGGGTCCTGGTGGGGGGACTAGAAGGACTGCCCCCCCGCCACCACCCCTCAACTTACTTGTTCCATCTGGGGACAGAGGCTGCGGCTCACCGAGAGCGACAAGCTGCAGGTGCAGATTCAGGCATATCTGGACAATGTCTTTGACGTGGGCTCCCTGCTGGAGGACACAGAGACCAAGAATGCGGTGCTGGAGCATATGGAGGAGCTGCAGGAGCAGGTGGCAATGGTGAGAGCGGCCTGCACCCACTAGCACATAGTAGGCTCACAGGGCCCCACACCCGACTCAGGCACTGGCTCTAGGTGTGAATTATGGGTGGCTGTCAGCCTGGCCCCTGAGTTTGCCCCAAGTCCAAATCCTGAAGCCTTTGGGTGTTGTTCTCAATTTGTGTTCATTGAGCTTCTACACTGGGCTGGACCTAGAGAAGGGCAGGCCCCCTGTTCTTCCAGTGTGCAGACCCCAGGCGCTGGCTTGGGTGAAAGTGGGTGCTTGGGTTCCTTCCCAGCTCAGTCTCCTCTCCATCCACCTCCCTCCTAAGAGTACTTTAGTAATCTCAGTGCCTTACCTACTTGGGTTCAAGTGCCAGGCTTGGGACACCCACAGTACCCTGGGCTGAGAGCATCCGAGAGCTTCCCCCAGCCCTCCAGGCAGGCATGCCTGGTGCCGCCCCCTCGCTGGCGGCGCCAGTGCCCGGCCGCGGGTGGGAGCTCTGCAAATGTGCCGGTGTCACAGCTGACAGACAGGCTTCGGGACGCGGAGAACGAATCCATGGCCAAGATCGCCGAGCTGGAAAAGCAGCTGACCCAGGCCCGCAAGGAGCTGGAGACCCTGAGGGTGAGGCTGGGGGCATGGGCCGGGCCAGGCCGGGTGGTCTCCCAAGAACACACCAGTTGGGACTGCTAGGCTGACATCCCCCTACACCCCGGGAAGAGGATGGGAATTTGGGCCAGGGAGCCTGCAGGTGGGCAGTGACCCTTCCCTCGGGACTTACAGGAGCGCTACAACGAGTCGACCGCCGTGGGCGCCTCCAGGCATCCCCCAGAGCCTGAGAAAGTGCCTCCCCCCGCCTCAGCGCGGCCCTCGGCCCTAGAGCTGAAGGTAGAGGAGCTGGAGGAGAAGGGGTTAATCCGCATCCTGCGGGGGCCGGGGGATGCTGTCTCCATCGAGATCCTCCCAGTAGCTGTGGCAACTCCAAGCGGCAGTGATGCCCCGACACCGACTCCGGGAGTGCCCACCGCCTCCCCCAGCCCAGGTGCTCTGGAGCTTCAGACCTTCACCCGGGGCCCGGGAGGGAGAGCTTGGAAGCATCTCCGGGCTGAGGGTTGGAGTGGGCAGCTAGATTGTGGGCGCCGCTCAGGGCGTGTGCGGTGGTGAGAATGGGCCCAGTGCGCATGTGTGGGTCAGGGAGGCGGAGATGAGATCACCAAGGTAAGAAATTGACACGCCCCCTCCGACCCCTTCTCCCACCTGCAGCAGAGCCTGCTCCTGGAGCAGCGGCCCTACCACCGCCGCCCCCACCCCTGCTTCCAGGTGCTGCTCCCCAACAGGAAGCCCCGCCCCCGGCGCCCCCAGCGGCCCCGCCCCTCCCAGGCAGCCTGGACCTCCCAGCCGCACCACCACTGCCCGGAGACCTGCCGCCGCCCCCGCCGCCGCCGCCACTGAGCACTGATGGTCCCGTCCCGCCACCGCCCCCACCGCCTCCAGGAGGCCTCTCTGATGCCCACGGAGGGCCCGGCCCGGAGATGGGCCCAGGTGAGTGGACCCCCGAGGCTCAGGGCTCGGGGGAGCAGAGGGAGGGGCCTGGCCTTGGTGTCCTTCAGGACCCTCTGTCAGAGAGCCTCATAATGCCTCCTGCCTGCCCTGTCAGGCATCTCTGGGCCCAGGTTTCCTCTAGATTCCCCCTCTCCCCCGCTGCGCGCTCATCACTCCCTCCCTGTCCCAGGAATTAAGGCCAAGAAACCCATCCAGACCAAGTTCCGAATGCCGCTCTTAAACTGGGTGGCCCTGAAACCCAGCCAGATCACGGGCACCGTCTTCACCGAGCTCAATGACGAGAAGGTGCTGCAGGTGTGTGCGGCCCTGCCTTTCCCCAATGTGGGCACCAGAAGGGGAGGGCACTCGCTCCAATCATGCTGGGCATTGGGGGTGGTCATCTCCTCCACCCCTTTCCCTTTCCACTATTTACCCCTGGTAAATTCCAGTTCTTCCTTCAGCTTTAATGCCCTGGGGTCTGGGTTGCCTGGTTTGGGTGCTTCTCTTCCTCCTTGATGTGCCCACAACCCCCTGTGCTTTCCTGTACTCCTCATCATGGCCTGTGGTCAGACTGGGTTACTGGTCTATTTCTTGCCTCGTGGCCTGGTTAGTGCCAGGTAAATGGTTCTAGCACTGAGCACATTCCTCAGCCAGGAGTGTCCAAGGCCTTGCCCCACCCAGCCCACCTCCTCTCTGGTCCCTCAGGAGCTAGACATGAGTGACTTTGAGGAGCACTTCAAGACCAAGTCCCAAGGCCCCAGCCTGGACCTCAGTGCCCTCAAGGGCAAGGCATCCCAGAAGGCTCCCACCAAGGCAACACTCATTGAGGCCAACCGGGCCAAGAACCTGGCCATCACCCTGCGCAAGGGGAACTTGGGGGCCGACCGCATCTGCCAAGCCATTGAGACGTGAGTACCCTAGTGCTGGGCTGGTGGGCAGCCCAGGCCTTCTACCAGGCCGGGGTCGTCAGGCGGGTCCTAGTAAAAGAGCCCCAACCATTGGACAGAGACCATCAGGTCCCACACCAGCCCCGGTCAGGGAACAGAGTGGGGAACTGTGTTCCCATTTAAAAAATTTAGGCCACACAGTGAGTACATGCCCAAGCTGGGATATCCCCACTCCCTGTCTCCTTGCCCAGCTGTGGGCACTCAGGCCCAGGTGTTTACAGCTGGGCATCTGCCACTGTGATATAACAGGGACTCCAGGCTACCCATCTCCCAGTTGCCCTTGTTCCCTGAAGCTGTCAGCATATGGCAAATACCGAAGTTCATTTATTGTCAAGGAGGGAGAGGGTCCTGCTCTTAGGGGCGGATGGGTGTGGAGTGACACCCTTACTACACATACAGGTATGACCTGCAGACCCTTGGCCTGGACTTCCTGGAGCTGCTGACCCGCTTCCTGCCCACGGAGTATGAGCACAGCCTCATCGCCCGCTTTGAGCGGGAGAAGAGGCCCATAGAGGAGCTGTCGGATGAGGACCGCTTCATGCTGCGGTTCAGTCGAATCCCACGCCTGCCCGAGCGCATGGCCACGCTCACCTTCCTGGGCAACTTCCCGGACACTGCCCAGATGCTCATGCCGGTGCGGGCAGGGGGACAGTGGGCAGGGGGACAGCAGGCAGGGGACAGTGCGGCCTGGGGTGGGGTGGAGGTGGGGAGGAAGCAACCCCAGCCTGGGCTCCAACGTGAGTCTGGGTGTGCTTGAGCCTCCTGATGGGGCTGTTCTCCCCAACTCACCTTGTCTCCCCTCCCCACACCCAGCAACTGAATGCCATCATTGCAGCCTCAATGTCCATCAAGTCCTCAGACAAACTCCGCCAGATCCTGGAGGTGAGAGGCCAGGCCCAGGGTCCGGGAGGTGGAGCCCACCCATGACTCCTTGCCTGCTCTGGGTGGTATGAGAGGGAGACCAGACCCTTCCCTGCACACCTAGGATGCAACAAAGATGGGGTCCCCATTTCTCACACACCCCTGATGGCACTTCAGAAGGACAGAGCTGGAATGCCATGTCTCTAATTGTACCCTGAAGACCCTGCCTGAGGGCTCAGCCCCCCACCCCGGGGGAACAGCTCTGTGATTAGGAAACCCCAACCACACCTGCCCCCTGGAGTGTCAAGGAACCGTTAGAAATATCTGTTAGAAAGGTGACCCCACAGCTTAGGAGGGGTGTCAGCAACACAGTGTTGGGTAGGAGTGGCAGAGGACCATGCTGCCAATGGTGCACACGTCAAACATGCACACACACATGTATACGCGTCATGGACCTAAGGGGTCCGTGCAGGAGTACCGTGAGGGCTGAGTGTGGGGCTTGTTTCTGCCGCCTTTTATCCTGTGCCCACTCAGCCCCAGCACTCCCCTGAGCTCTCTCCCGCCCCTCCAGATTGTCCTGGCCTTCGGCAACTACATGAACAGCAGCAAGCGTGGAGCAGCCTATGGCTTCCGGCTCCAGAGTCTGGATGTGGTGAGGGCGGCGAGGAGGGACCCCTGGCTTGGGGGATGTGGGTGATTGGTAGCGGATAGCTTCTGACAGGCCCTTGTGCAGCTGTTGGAGATGAAGTCGACTGATCGCAAGCAGACGCTGCTACACTACCTGGTGAAGGTCATCACTGAGAAGTACCCCCAGCTCACAGGCTTCCACAGCGACCTGCACTTCCTGGACAAGGCGGGCACAGGTGTGGGGCCCTCAGGTCTCTGGGTGAGGAGGGGGGCTCAGCCCGGGACTATTGGGCTGGGCTCGGTTGGGGAATGGCAAGGGGACCACAGAATGTCTACAATTGGAGTGGGAGTGCTGCTTCTCTGACTCCCTGCCCCTGTCCTGCTCTACCGCACCCAGTATCCCTGGACAGCGTCCTGGGGGATGTGCGCTCCCTGCAGCGAGGTCTGGAGTTGACACAGCGGGAGTTTATGCGGCAGGACGACTGCATGGTGCTCAAGGAGTTCCTGAGGGCCAACACGCCCACCATGGACAAACTGCTGGCAGACTGCAAGACGGCTCAGGTGCTGGGACTGGGGAGGCTGAGATAGGGGGATGCAGAGGTACTGGAGTCTGGGGAGGGTGTGTAGCCAAGCCTTGGAGGGGTGTGGTCCCAGCTGGGACACCATGTGGGGGGATGAAGCTCCTCCTGGTCTGGGACAGTGGCTTGGGGGGAGGTACCAAGCAGGGGTCAGGCTCCAAAGGGTCTGTGCTGGTGGGGCTGATGGGCTGTGCCCGCAGGAGGCCTACGAGTCCGTGGTGGAGTACTTCGGGGAGAACCCCAAGACCACATCCCCCTCCATGTTCTTTTCCCTCTTTAGCCGCTTCATCAAGGCATACAAGGTATGTGTGTCTGGTGGGTAGGCCGGGACCTCTGTGGGACATTGAAGCCTCTCCATATGGGTGTGGGAAGGGTGGGGGATGCTTCTTTCTTGAGGGCAGGATTGGGAAATAAGAAGGGCTCCCCTCATGGAGACCCATCTTGGCCCCTCAGAAAGCTGAGCAGGAAGTGGAACAGTGGAAGAAAGAAGCAGTTGCCCAGGAGGCAGGCACTGATGCCCAAGGCAGAGGGGAGCCCTCAGCACCCAAGGTAGGCAGCAGCCCCTGAGCCTGTGCTGGGATGCAGGGATGCTTGGTATCTTCGTTGTCCTCTAGTCTCCTCTGGGTCATCACTGTGTGGACAGATCCTGCTCAAGGCAAGGGTGGTACCCCAGGAGCCTGGGATGGAAATGGCTGCCCTCTGCTCAAGCCAGCTGCTCTTGCTGTGGGGGGACTAGGCAGATGTTCTAAGGGCTTAGCAGGGCAGGGGAAGATGTTGAGCTGGAGCTGTGCACCCCCTGCCCCCAGTCCCCACCCAAGGCCCGGCGGCAGCAGATGGACCTCATCTCGGAGCTAAAACGGAAGCAGCAGAAGGAGCCACTTATCTACGAGAGTGACCGCGATGGGGCCATTGAAGACATCATCACAGGTGAGGGCTCTGCTGGGCCTCTGTCCTGTCCTCAGTCTGTCCTTCTATCCTGTCCTCCATCTGTCCCCCCCCTCGGGGGGTCTGCCTGCCTCACTGCCTGTTGCTACTTTTTCTTTTTTTCCTCTCTCTACCCCTCCCCACCTTCCCCTCAACCCTCAGTGCTCAAGACGGTGCCCTTCACGGCCCGCACCGGCAAGCGGACATCCCGGCTCCTCTGTGAGGCCAGCCTGGGAGAGGAGATCCCCCTCTAGCTCCCCAGGTACCCAGAGGGCCTAGCCTCTGACCCCAGTGGCTGCCCTCAGCCCTGGGAGCCTTTAGGGGAACTGGGCCCCGTGCTTGGACGGGATGTGTTTGAGGGCAAACAAACAGTGCCCCCTCCCACATGCACACAACCTGGGTCCCTAGAAGGGTAAGGCCTGTGCTCGGGAGTGGGAGTCCTAGCCCTGGGCAGACTCCTGAAGGGTGTATGTGTCTCCTCTCGGCTGCCAGATCTGCGGAACCAGCCCTACATCCGCGCAGACACAGGCCGTCGCAGTGCTCGCCGGCGCCCGCCGGGGCCCCCCCTGCAGGTCACCTCTGACCTCTCGCTGTAGCCGCTGTTCCCTCAGATGGACTCTGCAGGGGGGCACACGGAAGGTGGTCGTCAGCTCGGCTGGGCCGGGCAGCCCCCTCCTCCGCTGTCCCACCATGGGCCGGCACTTCCCTCTTTTGCCACAGGGGGCAGCATCGCCGACCTCTCCCGCAAATGCTGCTTGCAGCACCCCCTCTCCCCAAAAGCCATACTTAGCCCTAGCGGGAGCCTGGCCTATAACTTATAAAGTGCAACCTTGCCCTACTGCCCAACTCCCCAGCCCCGGGGAATCTCCGTGGACCTTATTTTTATACAAGATTAATAAAGATGTTTGCAATACATGCGCGTTCGCCTGTTGCCCGCCCCCAAGGGGCAGCCTGGTTTCGCTCAGTAAACGCTTTACTTGTACAAGCTCCTCACGACAGGTCTCTGCAAACAGGCCGGCCAAGGGGAGGGGGGCTGCCTCTGCACTAGGGTTGGCGGAGAGGGAGGCAGCTTCAAGTGGGGCATACACTCTAGTGACTGGTCCATGAACCCTGCGGGAGGGAGGAGGGGCATGTGCGGAGATCCAGCGGGCAGCTCCAGTGAGAGATGCCTTCGATTCCCACTGCTTTTGAGTGGATTCCGACTCATAGCGACCCTGTAGGTCAGAGGAGAGCTGCCCCATAGGGTTTTTTAAGCAAGCCAACTGCCACATCTTTTTACCGGAGAGCAGCTGGAGCGTTCCAACCGCTGACCTTTCGGTTAGCAGTCAAGCGCTTTAACCACTGCGCCACCAGGACGCCTATCATCTTTCACTAGCCCCACCCAAGTTCGCCTTTCTGCTGCCCCGCCCCCTCTCCGCCAGTCCCGCCTACTGCCTGCGTACCTCGCGCGTTCCCTACTCCCTCGCCCCTAGCCTATAGTCAAGCCCTCACCCTGGCTTATTCTCCACCTGTGCCTGTCGCCATTTCTTCGGGTTCTGCTCCTATTCCCGCCTGTTCCTCCTCTCCCTACCTATCATGCCCCATCCTGCGCCTCGCCTCTATACCCGCCTGTCCAGCCTCCATTCTCCTTGTCCTGCTGCATCTGCCTGCCCTGTCTGCCTGCCACGCCTCCTGCCCCGCCCCTATTCCCGCAGCGGTCTCCTCCTTGCTTGCGCCGCCCCTCATCTACAAGGCCCCCCGACCCCGCAGGCCCTGCATCCTCCCCGCTCTCACTTAGGCTGAGCTGCCTCTGGCTGGCCACGCATTTTGGGCGGTTGGGCTGGTAGGGCTTGGGAGGTCGGACCTCGGGGCGGGGCGCTCGGCTCCTCGTCCAGCGTTCTGGTCGCGTCCGCAGGGCCAGGTTCGGTATCTGAGAATAGGGGCTGCGCACACCTGGGGTCGGGAGCCGGGGAGAAGTCCGAGGCGTTGATGGAGGGTTGGACGTGATTGGGAGGGTCTCCATCCCGCAGGCCCCGCCCCCCGCCTCACGCCCTCCCTGCTCGCCGCTAGGGGCGCACCTGCTTTGTGCAGTCTGTGCAGCGAGCGCGCGAGCTGGGTACTGGAGAGGCCGCTGACACGCGCGGCCTGGCAGTAGAAGACGAGGCCCGCGTGGGCGTACGGGGAGCGGCCGTGGCCGCGGGACTGGCCCCTCCAGCTTGGGTTCCTCAGAGCTTGCTGCTTCTTGGAGTAGTAGCTTGAAGGAGGAAGGAGGTGCAGCCGCCTCAGACGCTGCCCCGCCCAGCCCTCTCCATCTCACAAGGGGGGAAACGCGAAGCAAGGAAGCAAGACCGGAAGCCGCTTGACACTGGCCTGCGGCGAGCTGGGGCCCGGGGCTTCCGTCTCTGGGGCAGGGTCTGCTCCCCGCATCCCGGGCCCTGAAAGTGGGCATCGTCTGCCCACCTCATCACCTCCTGCACCGACTTGGAAGGCACAGAACCCTGGCCGAGCAGCTTAAGCAGTATCTCAAAGAACAGGGTCTGCAGGCCCTGGGGGTCGTAGATCCGGCTGTTCCTCACCCGGCCTGGGGACAGAGAGCATGGGGCGTGGGTGAGGAAAGACCTCCCCCAGGCCAGGCCCCTCACTGCCGCACCACCCTTGTTCCTCACCGAGGCATTGTGCAAAGCGGTGATTGTCAGTGAGGACGCCCAGGAAGTCCTTGAAGCTCACAGTGCCATCACCTGGGGAAAGAGTGCTGTGGTGTCTCCCCTGCAGAAGCCCTGTCCTGCATACGCTTTAGGGGCTTGCTGGCAAGATGCTGGAGTTCCAGGAGTTAGAGAGTCATGCCACGGGGAGACCCCAGTTTGAGTGGGGGAGAACTAGCCCTTGCCCTGGGAGAGTCTAAAGTCAAGATGAGCGTAAACACACTGCAGAAATGTTTAGGAACTATGGGCTAGGTGTGTTAATCTGGGAGGGCTTCCTGGAAGAGGGAACTTTAAAACAGGATCAGACCAGGGATTTTGTGGGCGAGGGAGGCATTCTTCAAGGCTGGAGGTGGGAGACCACAAGAGGATAGGGATGGGGCACCCACCATCCAAATCCGCCTGCCGAAGAGCCTCACACATCTCTTGTGGGCTCAGCTGGATGCCCACATTGCACAGGGCAACTTTCATGCTGCGCATGTCCATAGTGCCTGCCGGGTTGGAACTGAGCAGTTTGAAGATATCCTGGAAGGCTGAGGGCAGGGAAGGGGGCAGGCAGCAAGGTGAACCTCACATACAGGAATCCTGAGATCCGCCTACTCTAGCTCATGTAGGACCCAGGACTTGGGTCACTCCAACCCTCCCGGGTGTATTTTTAATACAAAGAACAACAGTGGCTGCTGTGTGTTGGTGCTTGTTAATCATCCATTCAGTCCTCATTTAACTTATGTCCAAGGTCACACCACTTTTAAAGGGCAACGATGGGATTTGGCCCCTGCAGTCCAGCTCTTAAGTTACAGTGCTCTGCAGGTAGCCGGCACTGACAATTGTTGAATAAAATGATTCTGATTTGAGGGGCCTCTGCCAATATCAAGACATAATCTTTGGGGGGCATTTGGATAGTGACTCCTTCTGCTTCTACCCCCAGAGTCCCAGATCCCTGGAGAGGACTCAGATTATTTTCTTCCACCCTTCTATTCTCTCTCCCTCTTCCTTCCTTCAATTCTGTTCATTCATGTATCCATCCAAAACCTTCATTCACCCATTCACCAATCCAACCAGAACACACACACACACACACACACACACACACACACACACACACACTCACACGCATCCTCTGGGCCATGCCCAGCACTGGGCTCTGGGGCCGTAGATGACTGGCATAGAGGGAAGGTTAGAATCTAGTAGAATAATCACCTCCTTCCTTCAGTGATCCCAGCCAAGCCACCCCTTTTAATGCTGTCCTGCGCACCCCCTATTTTTCCAGTCCTTGGGCCCTCACCTGCCAGCTGCCTGGGTGTCAGGGGCAGCAGGTTCTCGTCTGTTGAGCTGCCCGGGAGGAAGAGGTGGGAAAGGCCTTTGCACCTGTGCAGAGATGCCAGGACCAGGCAGGCATCACCCCCAATCCAGTGTTCCGGGTCCGGCCTCCAGTCCCTGCCCTCACCTCTGAGACCTCATGCTTGGGTGTGGCTGTACTGGATAGGTAGCCACAGGGCTCTTGAACTTCCTTGCCCCCGGCGTGGGCTGCTCAACCCCCCTGGCCATGGCCGCTGCTGCGGGCTCCATCGCCAGCTGCAACCTCCCCTTCTGCGCCCTGTCCACCTGCTCCTCCTCTGGATCTTGCGAGAGCAGTCTTCGAGGCTTCTGTTGAGGCCTTGAGAGTGGGGAGAAGATAGGGCAGAGGGACCCAGCCCACTCTCCCTCCTCAGACTCTAGGGGTATGTGGGATCCCCTACCCAGGCTGAGCTCACAGTCCTCAACCCCAGGGAACTCTAGGGGCAGGGCTGGGGAAGTGCCCTCCCAGGGTGAGGGGCAAGGGCCCTCCCCAGCCCTGTCACCTGCACTTGCTCTGTGCTGATGGGGCTCTCTTGGTCTTCTGCCCACTGCTGCCTGAAAGGCAGAGTCACAGGCTCTGAGGCTGCTGCAGGGCCCCAGGGCCGCAGGCCCAGGCTATGTTGTGGGGTTTAGCATTTTTTGGCCTGGTGTGCACTCTCTCACCCCAGGCCTGCCCCACCCTGCTGGGGACGCCTGCTGCTTCCTTCCTTAGAGTTCCTGCCTCCCTTAAGGCACCCTTGACTCCTGATGCTAAGTCAGGATGGCAGAGGTCCAGAGAGAGAAGCAGCCCCTGAGGCCCACAGCCAGCAGGAGGAGGGCAGGTCCAGGCTAGGGCCTCCTACCCCGGCTCCTCTAGGAGGCGAGGGTCCCCTCCCCCAAGCAATGCAAACTCAAACTAGATTTTAAAAATACCCCAGATGGATGCATCCCAACAGCCTGAGGGTGCTTCTGGCCCAGCCCCTCCCCAGACACTCACCTCTGCATCTCTTCCTTGGCCCCTTGCTGTCTGACCGCCTCCTCTGGCCTCCTGCCCCCTTCTCCTTCCAGCCCGGCCCCTTCCTTACTGCTCACCCCTTCCTAATCCCACTCTCCCAGGCCCTGAGCACTGCCCTCCTCGGCCCCTCCCAAGGCTGGGCAGGCTCTTGAAGTTCTGCAAGGCTGGGCTTTCACTTGACAGGGAAACAGAGGCCAGATTGGCGGGGAGTCGACAAGCCATTGTGCCGTCTCCCGCTTCTCTTTCTCCCAGATTTCCTTCTCAGCACCTGTGTCCAACCCTGTGCAGCCATCTCTCCTCTGCCGGAAGCTCCCCCACATTGTCAGTCCTCTGTGCCTCCAAGGCCAAACCTTGTGCATTTGTGTGCTTGTTTTGTATGTGTGTCTGGGTCACAGGCATGTGTGTTTATGTGTGCTGTGTGCACGGTTCCTGTGTGTGTGTGGATGTGTTTGTGTAAGTGCCTGGATGTGTGACGAACTGGTCAGCTGATGGTGTGTGTGTATGAGTGTGCGTTGTGTATGGCTGTGTACGTCTGGGTTGCACATAGATGGGCACCGTTACACGTAAGCGCCGTCCTACATTTTGGGGTACCTCCAGATCCAGGCTGTGGCCCCCTGGGGGGCCAGTACCACAGCATCACTCCCTTTCACCCTCAAGCCCCTGGACACCATCCCTTCCCCGTGCCCAGGCCTTCCCTGTGGAGAGAAGCAGGAAGAACTCCCTTCACACTTGCCTTCTCGGCTGCCCAGCCCCAACTCCAGAAGACCCCTCCTCAGATAACCCAACAGGTCCCTGGCTTCAGGCCCAGCAGAAGCCTCCATTTCGTAGTCTTAGGAACTGAGACTTCAGAGAGGGCCCCGGGGCCTCCCTAGTGGCCAGTCATGAGTCTTTCCTCCTGGCCTAGAGGACTGGGCAGGTGGGCGCGAAGAGGAGCTACCCATGGGAATGAGCAGGGGCGAAACAGATGGCAAGGAACAGGAGTGGCAGAGCTGGAGGAGGTGGGGCAGGGGTAGCTAAAAACGGGGGTGGCATCTCTAAAAAAGTAAGGACTAGGGTGCCGCAGCCAGGTGTGCTTGCTTGGTCCAGGGGTGTTTGCACAAAAAATCTAAGCAGGGGGCCAGCACTGAAGGCTTTACTGGTTTTGTCTAGTCATTTCTATGGGGAAGACAGCTTAAAATGGATTTTCAGCAATAATGGACTCTGTTTCTTGGTCCCTGGCACCGAGCTGCAATGCAAAAGAGACAGTGTCACTTGGGCCCCGGTGGGAGGGTGGGGGGGAGAGGGGAGAGCCCGGAGGCCTCTTGAGGGGGGTGTTGGGGGTCAGAGGGCCTCCTCCTGTTGCACGCTGGTGGGCAGCTGGCTTTCTGTTGTATTCATTCATCACTAGGAAGCAAGGGGTGCTGGAGAACCCCATTCCCTCACTCTCCCTCAAAGGAAGAGGCCTGGGCCCCACGGCTGGGGGCATCAGGCTCTCCTCAGGGCAGACTCTAGTGCAGGCAATTTTGATGAGGGTGAGGCCATCTACCCTCTGGGTGGGAGATGTCCTAATGCTAGAATGGCCCTTACCGTTTTGACCCCAGCTCCCTGTCCTGACCCTGGAGTGCTCACTCTCCATGGTTCCCAGCCCTCCTCTGGCCCTGGCCTTAGCGCTGTACCTAAGTCCACTGGAACCTTCTTTTCAGAATCCTTTATGAGGTCACTGAGGTGGGGACCCCACAACCCTCTCCATGCCTTGCCTGGCCCCTCATTCTGCTGTTCCCCACCCCCACCCCTGTGTGGGGAGTAGGGTGCACCCACATGTACTAGCACAGCCCCCTCTTCAGGGCTGCTGCTGGATAGACCCTCACTTACTCTTTCCTGGCTCCCTGAGGCGATAGAGCCAAGGCTGGTGGCTGGAGAAACTTGACTTCCCCTTCAATGGTGGCCCTCTTGATCCCTGGCTTGTTGAAGCTCCTGTATTCCTCATTCCAAACTTTTTGTGGCTCACCAGCTTCAAGTGGTTTCTCTGATGGCTTCTCTGGTGGCACCTCAGTGGGCTTTTCCAGCTCCAGCTCTGCCTCGGTTGGCTGGGCAGCAGGTTCCTTGGTGGGCTCTGTAGAAGGCGCCATGGCCTTCTGGGAAGGAGCTTTGATCAGGTGCTCCAAGTTGGGCAGGTCCTTGCTGCTGGAGGCCATGACCAGGGAAGACGCAAAACTGATTAGGTCAGCCAGGCCGATGGCTCCTGGGAGACTGGAGGAGGACAGGCAGGGGCTTGTCAGCAGTGTCTGGGAGCTTGTAGTTGAATGAGCTCCCTGGGCCCTGTAGCACAGGGTGTTGTTGGGGACGGGCTCCTGGCCTGTGCGGCTGGAGGTCAGCATGTCTGTGATGTTTTTGCTGGGCTCCAGGCCTATCACCTGTATCAGGCTGTGTTCTGAGGTCTGGATGTTCTTGTCTGCCCAGAAGAGGTGATTGGAGGTCTGCAAGCAAATGGAACAATGGCTGGTGGGCCTCTGCTCCTCTTCCATGGAGGTTAGGCTGCACTGTCTGAGGTTCTGCTCCTTGTTGGGGTAGAGGGGCTCTATGCTCTGCTGCTCAGGGGCTTCATCGAAGGACTTCAAGTCAGTCACCCTCAACTCTGGCTCTGTTTCTAGCATGGACTCAGGCTTGGGCAAGGATCCGTCTAAGTCTGCCTCCAGCTCCGGGTCCGGGTCCAGGTCCACGTCTGGCTCCACTTTGGGCAATGGCTCATGTTCCAGCAGTTCTGCTTCTAGCTGAAAGGGTTCAAATGAAAGCTGAAGAAGCAAGAGCCAGAGGCCCCTGCCCCTGAGGTCCTCCCCACCCCACAGGATACTGCTCACTTCCTCCCCCCAACTTGCCCCTTCAGCAGAACTCTGCCTAGGGTAGGAGGCAGTGTGGGCAGGTGATGAGGGTGGAGGTGTGTGAACATGCCCACAATGACCTGATGCCAGGGTCCCAGAATTTCAAGTGTAGGGGCTGGTCAGGACTTAGGGAAGATGGATCTCAAAAAACCCTGCTTCTGCCTACCACCTCCCCATAAGCGGTGACCCTGCCCACTGTTACCTCTCTCTCATCTTCTTGTACCAGATGGGACTCAGATTGGTGTTGGAGTAAGTTACTCCTACGATAGAAGGAGACAGAGTGGGTGACAGGGCTTTATGGGGGGGGGTGGCTTCAGTGGGAAGGGGGTCTCTGGGCCCCTCAAAGCCCCCTACCTTGTACAGAGGCTGGTAAGATGCCCCTCACCTTATCTGTTCCCCTGGCTGCCCCCGCCCCCACAGATAATTCTAGAGTAGTGTTCTCAAGCTTTAGTGAGTTTAGGAAGCTCCTGGAAAGCTTGCCAATTCACTCCCCTCCCCCAAAGGGGGATTCAGTTGGTTGGAGGTGAGGCCCAGGAATCTTCATTTTTATCAGGCTTTACAGGCAAGCCGATGCAAGGGGTTCTCTCAGCTCATATTGAGAACCAGTGCTCAGGAAGTGAGTACATGAGGAATTTGGCAGTGGTAGCAGGGGGTAAGGTTGGGAGTTCTGGAGGGTGTGGGGATGAGGTCCTACAATGATGGGGGGCTAGTTCTTACTGTGTATCCATAATGTCTACTGACTGCTTGCCACAGCAGGAAAATCCATTGACACCTGGCAGGGAGAAGAAGGTGAGGGCAGGGGAGCTGTAGGGCAGGGGACAGTCTGAGGGATTCTGGAGCCAGGGTTGGGTACTGCACCCTAAGCTTCTCCCTTCCTCCTTCCTTGTCCATTACCTCAGCCCATTTGCCACCCTCTCTCCCATCCTGCCCCTCCTCTCCTCTCCCTTGCCAGTGTCACCAGCCCTATCCTTCATGTCTACTGCGCTCCACTCACCGCCTTTGCCTTTCTTCCAAATCTCCCTACTCCATCACTGTCTTCCATAAGGCCTAAGGTTAAGAGTATTAGGTCCCATTTACTGAGTGCTTACTATAGGCCAAGTATTGCGCTGAGCACTGTTTGTGCTTTATCTCACTAATTCAACACAAAAAATTAGAAGAGGTCCATTTGCCCAAGGTCCCACAGCTGGTAATTGCTGAAGTCAGAACTTGAACTCAAGTCTGGCTCCAATAACTCTTAACTCCGCTGCCTGGCACTGCTGTCCCATCCAGATACTGTGTGGGGCCTCTATCATCCCCCAAGTCAACCTTCCTCATCTCCCTCCCTTCCTGCCCCTCTGCCCCCTTTCTCTATTCTCTCTGACCAGGTCTCAGATCTTCTGCTCACCCTCCTTCTAGCCTCTCCCACCCTGAAGCCCTCTCTTCCCCGGGCTTTTCATCCCACTGCACACTTGGTGTCATCCATCCTGAACTCCGGACCAAGGCGCTTACCCCAGGTGCTTGATATGAGGTGATCACCTATCTGGTGATTTATGAGCTCAGATCACCCTCTGCCAAGGAGAGTGAGTGACTCCTTGCGGTGGGGGGTGGGGGTTGCCCCATCCCCGTTCTCTCCTCAGAGACTTGTGTCTTTTATCGCAGAAGCTCCTCCTTCATCCCTTGGGGGTGGGAGACACGAGGCTGTTCCATCCTGTGCTACCCAGGGTAGTGGATAGGGGTTGATGGTGGGGCCATTATGGCACAACTCGGTCCCCACGAGTCTGGGGTGTGGTAGGAATTGACAGTCCTGGCTGGGAAGAATTGCTCCCAGAATTATATCAGAGGAACCAGGATATGCTGTGGCCTCCACATAGAGGCATAGAGGCTGGGAGGGAGTCCCTGCATGGCTGGTCCCGGGATTGGAATTTGGGCATATCCATGCTTCGGTATTCAATATACCAGGTTTGGGTCTGGAGGATCTTGGATCTGCTGGGTGGCTGGGCTGGGGCTGCACTACCATGCGCAGGCCCCCAGTGGCCAGCTCATTGATATCTCATTATATCTTCTACTTCCTTGACCACCATGCTCCCTTGGCTTCTTCTTTATCTCCTCCTCCACCTGCCCTAAGTGCTGCTATTCCTCAGGCTTCTGACCTAAGAGCCTTCCTTTGTCTGCTTTATGAAGTTTCCCTGGGCAATTTAATCAACACTCACAGCCTCAACCCTTCCATAAACAGCAACTGGATGTAGACAGGAGGAGAAATTACTGTGGCATGAATTCTGAAGCAGCACTGAAGATTGGAAGAAAGCATCTGAGTTTGACTCAACTTGGAACCTCTGTGCCTGACTTGGAAAAATTCCATTAGGGATTTCAGTGATGCTCTGTAGTATTTGAAATAATTGCAATTTCCAATTGTTTGTTGCTAGTATATAGAAATATATTGTTCTTGTATCCTGCAAATATGCTAACATTAGTTCTAGTAGCTTTTTTTGTAGGTTCCATAGGATTTTCTACATAGATAATTGTGTGAATCAAGGTAGTTTTACATCTTCCTTTCCTATCTGGATGTTTCTATATATATGGTCTTACTGCACTGGCAAAAATCTCCAGTACGATGTTGAACAGAAGTGGTGAGAGTGGACATCCTTACTTTGTTTCTCTGTTTAGGGAGAAAGCATTCAATCTTTTACCATTAAGTATGTTGTTAGCTGTAGCTTTTTCCATAAATGCACTTTATCAGGTTGAGGAAGTTCCCTTCTATTCTTAGTTTGCAGAGAGTTTTTCATTAGGAATAGATGTTGGGTTTTGTCTAATGCTTTTTCTGCATTTATTGAGATGTTCATATGGTTTTTCTATTATCTTGTGGGCCTGGAGTTTCTTTGTGGGAAGATAGTGTAATTACTAATTCAACTTCAAAAAATAGATACAGGATTATTTAGACTATTTCTTCTTGAGTGAGCTTTTGGAGTTTGTATCTTTTACGGAATTTATTCATCTAAATTGTCAAATTTATTGGTATAAGTTGTTCCTGATATTCCCTTATTATCCTTGTCCTATCTGCCAAGTATGTCCACAGGAGATACTCACATCTCTATTTCTTACTCCTGTTCTCTCCTGAGCTCCAGACACAAACACCAGTCACTAATTGCACATCGAAGGACCTCAGATTCACCTTGTCCAACACCACGCATCCATTGCTGGAACAGGAGCTGTTTCCTCTCTCTGGAATGCTCCTTGTCATCTGTTGGTGATGCTGCTCAGGGCTCACCTCTTCCTGGAGACCTTCTGGACTCCACTCCATGGCCACGGGTTAGAGGCTTCTCTTCCAGTAACCCCTGCCCTGACCCCACAGACCTCTATCTGGGCACACGGCCCCTTGCTGACCCTCAGTTAGTGGTCGGCAGGGTGTATGGGTTGACACCCAGCACAGAGTCTGGCCTGAGGTGGATGTGCAGCAAATGTCCGTGCAAAGAATGAATTCATTCTCTCTCTCACCCTGCCAAACCCTGTTGTTCCTTCTCCATTTCGTACCCCAAGTTCACACCGTGCATGTCCAGACTCTAGCGTGGCCAACACAGTTCTGCATCTCACCCTGGTCTTCCTTTTCAGCCTCTCATGCCCCTCCTCCTCTTGCCCCGATTCATCCTTCATCCTATCACCCAAATTAGAAACCTGGGTCATTTGTGACTCCCTGTCACTCCCCGGCTCCTGACCTTCCTCCCTCTGATGCTCACCTTGTACACATGCATCCCCTTTTCCGCTCCTACTGCCTCTCTCCTCCTCACCTCCCAATACCAGAGTCCACACAAGCCTAGGGCTTTACTACCGTCCAGCACTTGGTGCTTAGCACTGTGCAGGCATTTAATCTTCAGTGCCACAGGTGGTCTCAACTCTCCTCTCACAGAGGAGCAAACTTGCACAAAGTAACGCAGCTATTAAGAGCAGAGCCACAGACTGAATACAGATCTGACAGGCTCCAAAGTCCTGATGCTAACCACTGTGCTGTCTTAAATCTCTTTCCACCTCCACTGCAGCCATATTCCCCTCTAACCTGATCTTCTCAATGACCCCAGAGTGATTCTGCATCACATCTGCCACCAGTCATGTCCAGACTTCAGTGTGGCCTTGAAGGCCCTGCATGGTCTGACCCTGTCTTTCTTTCTCAGCTTTTGATATCCAGCTTCCTGCTGTTTGCCCCAAGTCCAAGCTACCCCAGCACACGGCAGGCCTTTTCATTCCTCAGTGCCTTAGCACATGCTATTTCCTATACCTGGAAAGTCCATCTTCTGGTAAAATCCTACTTGTGCCTGAAAGCTCAAGTCTCCAGTGTCATCTCTGTGACAAACCCAACTGTCCAACCTGCATTTTAATTCTAAACCAACTCAGTCAGACTCAGGGCCTCAGGACCCAGCCCAAGAGTAAGCCCCGAGGGGATGCAATAAATGTCACAGGAGCGATTTAAGGTGCCAGGAGTAAGTCTGTTACCCCGCAAGTTGGGTTTGGGGGAAAGCTGCTCTCTGGTTGTTGATCCTTGGCACATTTTTACGCTGGTCTATGTCCTCCTGAGAGAGAAGTTCCCAAGAAGAAAGCCCCCGTTTCAAAGGGGATCTCAGCCAGAGCCCTGAGGGGCAAATACTTTTGTTCATTGGTGATCTCAGCACAGAACAGTGCAAGGTACACAAAACCAAAACCAAACCCGTTGCCCTCGAGTCAATTCCAACTCACAGCGATCCTATAGGACAGAGCAGGACTGCCTCATAGGGTTTCCAAGGAGCGGCTGGTGGATTGAACTGCCAGCCTTTTGGTTAGCGGCTGAGCTATTAACCACTGAACCACCAGGGCTCTGCAAGGCACACAGGAGGAGCTCAATAAATATTTGTTGAAGACTGCTTCTCCCTGTGGCAAAAGCACCAAGCATCAACCCGGGACAATGTGAGGTGATGTTTTTGGATGATCTGCAGTGTGGGATGATTCATGGGCTGTTTCCTGGGCACAAGCCATGCCCCTTTCGTGGACTATAGGGCCCCTCCAAGAACCTGCTGAACCTCCGTCTTTACCCCACGATGTGCACGTGCGCCCATGTGCACACACATATTTAAGCACGGCGCAGGGGCGCAGGCTGAGTGTTGAGGTCCGGACATCAGCCGCCCCCTTTCCCCGGAGGATGGCAAGGGTTTGGCTTGGGCACTTCCTTTCCGGCGCACGGCGCCTTGGGAGCATGCAGAGCGGTCCCTGGCGGATTCCTTGCGGCCCCCTCCGCGCCCCGCCCTCACTTTCACTTTTGTCGCCCCCCTGGGTCCACGCCCCGCCGGGGACCCGCTATCCCTCCGCGTCCGCCCCACCCCGCCGCGAGCCCGCCTGCTCCCACCTGTCACCCCCATGCCGACCGAGGCTCTGTCAGGGAGGCGGGGAGAGGGGTGGTGGATGCTGCCCCTCCGCCTCCAGTGCGCTCTTTGGCTGGGTGGTGCGGGAGGCGGGGGACATGCCGGCGGTGCCGGCGCCTATGATGTCGCCGCCTCTGTGACGTCCCGCCGCTACCCCAGGGAATAGCGCCCCGGATTCCTCGGGGCATGCGGGCAGCCCGGGGCCGCTGCCGGCGGTGGGTGGGGGCTGGGGAAGAAGGCGGCAGGCCCGGGCGAACCAGTTCCTGGGGGGCAGGAGAGCGGCCGTTGCGGGGCGTCCTCCGGAGAAAGCTGCCCCGCCCAGCCCGGCAACCACGGCCCTTTTCAGGAGACCTCAGGCTGCTCTGCTTTGGCAGCAGGCCTCGACGGTGAAGAGGGCAGCGATGGTAAGCCTGGGTCTGGGGCTGCGCTCTGCACCTGGCAGGGGCACGCTGGGCACAGGCTGCTGCCCCTCCATGGGCCAAAGACCCCTCCAAGAACCCCATGGTGTGGACGTGTGCTGGAGGGCACACACATTTGTGCACAGTTTCAGGGGTGTGGAGTCAGCTTAACAAGGCACCCATGTGGCCTGTGGCATTCATCCTCACACAGGCCCTGACCCTGACCAAGGCACCCACTCCTGAAAGTCATCTTTGGTCGCGCGCAGGAGCGCAGGAGGCAGCTGGGAGGGGTGGCACAGTCTGTTCTGTGGTCAGTGCCCATCCCTAACTTGTCTCCTGGTGTCACTGGACTGCCTTCTCCTCCTCCCCTGTGACCTGGCAGCGTCTGGCCAGGAACTTCCCTCCTGCCACTGGGTGGGGCATCTAACCCAACTGGTCTGGAGACCCCAGAGGGGGCAGGGGTGGTGGGGAAGCAGCCAAACTCAAGGACTGAAAACAGTCCTTGCCCAAAACAAAGGGCTGGCTCGAAAAGACGCCTCCAAGAAGGCCAGAGAAGGCAGTGGTTAGGATTAGGAGTTCAGCAAGCAGCAAGTAGGGTAGACACCCACGGCCCAGAGAACAACTGTCATCACCCCAAACTTTATTGCTTACAGTTCTCTACAACCCAGACTCCGCAGTACCAAGGCTGCAGTGTCACGTGTTGGGGACTGGGAGTCTCTCCCTGGGTAACAGTATGGCTCGATGCGAATAGCTGGACAGACATCACCTTGGCAAAATGTGGGGACAAGCTTTCTGAAACTTGATAAGGTGCTGTTCCCCAGGAAGGTGTTTCAAAGGAGCCCCCCATGACTGCAGGAGGCTAAGGCTAGCAAGCCCCTCACCCCCAATGATTCACAGTTGATTTAATGCTACCTGCGTCCTGATCAACCCCCCTGGGCTGGGACAATGGGGAGGGGAGCTCATCTTAAGAGAAATCTGGAAGAGGTTTTAGGGGTCATGTGAGTGTAGACAGGTCAAGACTTGAGTCCCTTCACCCTCTCTCCTGGCCCGCTGGGGGCCATGTCATTACTTGTGCTCAAGCAGAGCCACTGACCTGCCCTCCTGGAGGGCAGCCATGAAAGTGCTTTGAGGTCATCAGAGTGCAAAGTGTAGCTGGCAGTGCCCATGTGGGCAGGGCAGGGTCAGTGCGGGTGTGCGGCCCTGGCTGCATCCTTGGGGAAGATGGTGTGCTCGGTGTCAAAGCCGTGGCTCTGGCAGTAATGGTGCTGCTGTCTGCTGCTTTCTTTTGCATCCATCATGCCCCATCCTCAGACCATTCAGGTCAAGGGGGTCTCGCGTCCACCCTTCACTTTTACAGATGAGGGAACTGAGTGCAGCTGGTCGGGGCAGTGCTGGTCTGCAGTGTGCGCTCGGGATGTCAGGACGGCCTGCTGCTCTGGGGAAAGTGCTGGCCAGCAGCAAAGGGTGCGTGCTTGGGGACCGAGAACCATTCCACTTAAACACCTTTGGTTCTTGGTTGAAGCCAAGTTCAACAACTGGACCTGTGCTGCAACAACCTGAAAAGTGTGGTGGAAGCTCCCAGGGACTCCTTCCTTCCTGACTTCATCTGAACAGTTCTAGATCGAAAAGTGGGTTAGATGGCCAGGAAAGGCCACACGAGGGGGCAGAGGCCCCCCCCATTAACCCAAGGGCCTGTACTGGACCTAGGTGTGGGCTCTTAGACACTGACATCCTCACACCTGACCAAAGGCTGAGGAGAAAAGGTGTTCACCCACCCCCTGACCCAAGCCAGAAGCTACTCTCCCTGACTGCCAGCAAGTGCTCGCTGATCCAAACGGGCCAAGCCAGCTTGTTAGGGCCAAGGGCAGAGAAGACCTTCTTCACTTCTGGAGGGAAGAGGTCTCATGCTTTCCTCCTCCTCCTCACGTGGGCAGTGTTCTCTTGGCGGGCTCAGGCAGGACTCAGGCGGGAAATCCTGGGTGGTGTTTGCTAGTCCTGCTTTGCTGCTGCCAGCCACTGGTCCCACTGCTGAGCCAGGGGATAGCAGCTCCCTGGGAGCAGGCTGAGCCCGTGTCTCAGGGGCAGCATCTAGCCACCAACAAGGAAGGCTGTTTCGGCAGAGCAGAGCTGGTGGTGGAAGGCAGGGCTAGGGCCTGTTCTCCAGCTGGCCATGCTTGACCCTCCAGCTCCAGGCAAAGCTGCCATCGGGGGCCAGGGTGCACTGCAGGTCAATGCCCGAGTCTGGTACCTCCATGTCATAGCGCACGGGCTGCCCATCCTTGGTCACCAAGCTGAACGCTGCAGCCGGGATCTGGGGGCGGAGCAAACCAGTGGGTCAGAGACAGCTGGCGTGCGGCTTAGAAGCCACCCAGAAGTGTAAAGCTGATGGTCCCCTACCATGCTGGGAGGCACATCTCCCTCCAGCCAAGCAGGCAACCCTGAGGACATTACCTGCCTTTCATTCTGGAGCGCTCAGAGAATCCGCCTGGCCCCACTGAGGGTCCTGAGGACCCTCAGTCACCACTGCCAGTCTTATCCTGAGCCCCCAGCTCTGGGGGACATCTGAGGCCACGTCCAACTATTCTGTAGGGTGCCATTTCTACTTCTTCAAAAGCCTTCCTCCCAGAGGGCTGGGCCAGGCACACTAGCTTCGAAGCTTCTGACCCTAAGCAGATACCTGTCCCCTTACCTGGCTGCTGATGCCAGTCGCGATGTCTCCCACCTTGACACGGTGGAACTCCCGGATGTGCAGGTGTTCGCCATTGAGGGACTGTATTTGGACTTTCACACCTAGAAGGCAAGGTGATAGGAGACTGGGGCCCTGAGGAACTTTTCGTTAAAAAGTCACTCTGTCCTAAGTAGAGAGAAGCAGGTCTGGCTGAGATGAAGCTGCAGAGATGACATTTAGGCTAGAAGTGGCCCTAATGTTATACACCTGTTAGCTCTTCCTCATGGTTTCCTGCCAACCCCTAGAATTTGGCCTGCACATGGCAAAAAGCTGAGGCTGGCTCTTATGGGGAAGTAATATTCCAAACTGGACACAAAGTAAAAAGGAACTGAAAACAAAGACTCTGAAATTGGATTGTAACAGCTTAGACTTCAATGTTCTCTGAGCTAAAGCAGCTCTGGCCAGGCCACAGGCTTCATGCCATGAGTCACGCTGGCCCTGAGGCGGGCCAGGCAGACCCAGCCCTTGTTCTCTCAAAATCACCATATGACCTGTGCACCCAAGCTTGAGACTAAGAAGTTATATGTTGTCTTTCTCATACTCTGACCTCAAACCCCAGAGGAGGATTCCAGGATGTCTAACTTATGGCATCCACAAACTTGTAGCTGAGTTCTTGACTGAAACACCCAGGGGCTTCTGTCCTTCCTTTTCAGAAGATGCTGGTTGGTCAGTTTCTTGACTCCAGGCCAAGAGAGACTTCTCTCCTTCCTAAGCCAGGGGGCCTCTGGGACTCCGTCAGTAGCCAATGAGGGGATACTAGTTCTCCACTGCCCCACTGGCAAAGGCTCTTGGGGAATCAGGGCCTTTGCTCTGAACTTGACTGACTAACCAGGTGCCTTCCTTGCTCTTCCTCATTGTGCCAGAGGAAGGGGGATATGGGCCCCTCAAAGATTCCCTAGTCCCAGGCAGATCGGCTGCCGTGGGGCTTGCTGAGCAGATGAGTGTAGGATTGTACCATTGAAATGGCTCGGGGTATCTGTGGGCCGCCCCCGGGCCAGCACCATGTTCCAGCTAGAGCTGCGAGCCTCTGCCTGGCTGCTCCATGAGTGCACGCCGGAACTCAGGGTGTCCCGCGAGCTCTGAGAGGCCTTTGATGGGTTCTGAAACAACAAGGGTGGACACAGACTCAGGCCTTGGAACCATCTTTGGCCTTGGTCTCATTTAGGGCAAAGGAGCCCTCCCCTGAGGAGAGGAGCTGCTCACGTCCTAGGCTGGAGCACGGCACTACTGGGTACTTTTGAGGCTATGCAGGGGCTGAGCTCATGGGGGGCCCCGGGGCTGGAGGCGGATAAGGAGTATTTCTATGGGGACCAAAGCCCATCTCCATGATATCCACCGTAGCTAAACCCATTCCCTAATCCCCCAGTGTGTTGAAGATGGATTATCTCACCCTGAGAAACCACGGCCCTTCCTCAGCAGGACACCTCCCAGAAGGAAGCCCCCCTCACCTTCCCTTTACCCACTCCTTGCACACTGTCCCTTCACCAGCTGGACACAAAGCCACCTGCTCTGTGCCAGAGCCAGGAGAACCACACCCCTGAAGTGATGGCTCCCGGCCCAGAGTCGACTCACCTTCTCACTGTCATCTGACAGGGAGAGGCTGTCGACGCTGAGGCACGACAGGATCTGCTCCTGCTCCTCCAGAGAGAATGGCTGGGACAGACTGTTCAGAAATAATTCTGCAGGGAAAAGCGGAAGACAGCTATGAAGACTGGGAAGGGCCTGGCTTTAGAGTCAGGGTTCTTCCTGGAAGAAAACCACGCTGGATATAGAGAAGCAAGCACCGGCCTTGGTGGGAGGCCCAGGGTCAGTGTTCAGGGATGCAGGGGCCCGAGGGCCATGGCCACAGCCATGGCTGCCCATACCTATTTCCAGCTGCTGCAGTTCCTGCTCAGGGAAGGTTGCCCTGCGCTCTGGTGAGCTGGGGCTTTTGACAGGGGCTGGGTCCAGGGAGGACAGAGGCAAGGGTTCCCATGTCCCAGACTCCTCCTTGCTCAAGTTCAGGGCTGGAGACTTGTTCCGCTCTGGGGGCTCTGGTGGTAGAGGAGGCTGGAGCTTAGGAGCCCCGTCTGCTGTGTCCTCAGCTGGCTGGGGCCCTGGGGCCCCTAGCGAGAGCTCCCTTGGCTGGGCGCAGAAGGTCTGGTGATAGTTCGGTTGGTTTGGTGGCAGATGTCTTGGTTCTTTATATTCTCCCCTCCAAGGGCTCTTCAGACCTCCCACTACAAAACAGAGCACAAGCAGAGAGGTGGAAGCATGTCAGCACACAGATACAGCTTGGGCCACGTCAGGAATACCTTTCTTGAGCAGAGGAGGGCTACATCTGAGCCACCTGGGAGGACTCCTGCTGGGCCTTGTCAGGGAGACTACTAAGGAGGGCAGCGGTGGTCTCCAGAAGGGGCCTCTTAGGTAAGATGGCCTCGTAAAATGAGAACAGGACTGTATTTGTCTCTTATTCCATTTCCCTTCAGGTAACAGTAGCAAATTGAAAAACTACAGAACTGGCTCCAGAGAAGGACTTTGTTATAGCAAAAAGAAGATTTAAAATCAGCTCTGGGGCAACACCACCAGGGAGTTCCCTGGTAAAATGGCCTCCCTGACCCTCCATCACCCTCACCCCCCTCCATGGTCTGTGCTTCCTGAGGGCACCATTTCTCTGGAGTGGGGGCAGCCCTGAGGCCACCCTCATAATTGCAACTACATCCATTTTTAGGGTGGGAGGCTGTGCAAGGCCCCCTTCCTGTTTTATTTCCTTTAAATTCCCAACGCTACTCTTTTCCCTGCCCAGGTGACATTCTATTATGTTTAATGTATCACTTTTCGTTTGATCGTGTTATTGCAAAATGTGTATTGTTTTCATCAATCAATTTTTAACTTATAAAAAAGGCACTGTGTTCTGTGTCTCATTGTTTGGTTTCTCTTTTCACGTAGCACCATGGTTATGGCTCTGTCCATGCTGCTTTGTGAACATCTTATCTGTTGCTTTAACTGCTGCCTGGCGCTCCCCTGTGCATCCCCACCTTTCACCTCTCCACTCATCCAGTGAGGGAAGGGGGACTGCACCCAACTTCCCTCTCACAGACAGGGGCAGTGCAGGCCCTCAGGCGTGTCCCCTGGTGGATCTGTGCGGCAAGTGCACCCAGGAGTGGAGGTCTGCAGATGTCTGCCTGAGCACTGCCAGATGCCCTCGAGAGGGGCTGCAGCTTCGTCCACATGACTTAGCGGTGTTCAGGGTTCCATTCCCCACCAACGTGTGGCTCTACCAATTTCCTGATTTTTCCCAGTCAAAGGGCTGTAAAGTGACACCTGGTTTTACTTTGCATCTCTGGTTACTACTGAGTTTGAGCCCCTCTTTATATGTGGTATAGAGCCCTGGTGATGCGGTGGTTAATGTGCTTGATTGCTAATCGAAAAGGTCAGTTGTTCGAAACCACTGGCTGCTCTGCAAGAGAAAGATGTGACAGTCTGGTTTCAAAAAGTTTTACAGCCTTGGAAACCCTATGGGGCAGTTCTACTGTGTCCTACAGGGTCGCTATGAGTCGGAATCTACTCTACGGCAGTGGGTTGTATGTGGTAACCCTTTTCCCCCTCTCAAGTCTTCCCTTTTACAACAAAGCATGGCACGAAGCATTTTTACTCACATCACCTCAAGTTGTCTAACATCCCTGAGGTTGTTGTCCTGCCCACGTTCTAGATGGGTAACTCAGGCTCCCAGAGGTGAGTATCTCACTCTTGCCCACTACACTGCCTGTCTCTTTGCTTGGCCCGTGGCTCTCAGCCTCGCTGCGGGGGAGCCACAGCAGCGCAGGCTCTTACCTTGCTGCAGTGCCAGGCTGACCTTGCCCCCCAGCTCCACCGCAGATGCTCTGTGGATGGGCTCCTTCCTCAGCCCCTCTTGGATGGCCTGGGCAGTGAGAGGAGCACAGGAAGGTGGGATCTCCTTCACAGGTGGGGGCTCGCTGGCAATCTGGGGATCAAAAGACAACATAATGAGGTCTGTGATCCTCGTTTCCCAGCACTCAGCCTTTCTGTTCCTGCCCCACGTTGCAGGACAGGCCTGTCACCAGGAATGGAGAGGCCTGGGGTAGAGCAAAGGCTGGGACTTCTCCTAGAAAAGGGAAAAAGGGTCAGGTAGGACCGGCCAGGGCCAGGGAGCAAGGGCCCATGTCCTCCAGGCCCAGCCTGTCAGGAGGCAGGTGATGGTGGCCCAGGATGTGGACAGAGGAGAGTTTTGACCCGCCTTGAGCTCAGTAAGGCCCTCACCTGGGATCTCTCCTTGTGCCCTCCGATTTGGGTGGCAAGCATTTTAGTCAGGACCCACATTTATTCTGAGGCCTACCCCTCCTCCCTGCTCACATCTGACACTGAAGAGCAGCCAAAATGGGAGGCCACCTTGCACCTGCAGCCTGGGCCCCATAGCCCTGCCGGCCTTCCCTCGTTCTGTCACTGACCTTGAGGCAGAGTGGCCCTCGGAAGTACTGAGTCCAAGGATGGCAGCCATTAAGCATGTGCAGCATCATGCAGCAGCTGCTCCAGATGTCCACCTTAGCATCACAGGGCTTGCCCATCACCACCTCTGGAGCCATGTGGGTCTCTGTGCCGGGGATGTAGTCCCCTGAGAAGGCGAGGGCAAGACAGACAAGTCAACTGTGAATTCTGATGGGCAACAGCCTGGGCAATGACTGCATCAATCAGTTCCTGGGAGACTGTTAAAGTGCTTCAGATCAAGAGACAAAGCCCCCCAGTCGAACTTGCTGGGGATGAGCTCAGTCGGGGATTCTGCTGGGACCAGGACAAAGCAACACATCATCTACAACAGGGACCAAACCCTTCAAGTGCCTTTTAAAAATGAGAAGGGAGCTGGACATTAAAAATCAGGTAGAAGACTAATTAATGGCCTGATGTTCCTGAAATATTAGAAGTGAGAGAAATCCAATCGCAGAAAACTTATATGCATGAAAGACTGGAAAGATCAGTACCAGATATTAACAGTAGTTTTTTTCCGGTGATAATGGATTCTTAATTTTTGCTTAGCTCTACTGTTTGCAATGAAAAGCTTTTATTCTTGTAATAAGAAAAAAAGCCCCACTGAAGTTATCTGAATGTGGAGGTGAGGTGTCCACAGTCAATTTACAGCTTCAGAATTACCAACACACTCCTTTAATGACAAAGAATCATATACACCCAAAAGACAGTTTTTCCTCTGGTCAAAATAAAATCATGTTATGTTTAATGCTATAAAGGAAAACAAGAAGGCACAAAATTGTGTTATAATGGTCTTACCTATACACAAAACGAAAAAAAAAAAAAAAAAAATTATCCAAAATATTCATGAGTATCTCTCTGGGCAAGAGAAATGGTGAGAATTCTTTTTTTTCCCTTCCTCTTTTATACCACTTAACTCTGTACTTGCCAAATGTTTGGGCATGAATTATTTTAATAATCAGAAAAATATAAGTTAAAAATAGGTGTTTCGCCAGCTATAGAGCCCAGGCCCCTTGGTCCCACTGTACTTTGAGGCAACTGTGCTCTCAGAGGTGTGGAGAGCTGGGGTTGCAGCTCTGGAGCACAGCTCCACCACAGAGGCCAGACAAGAGGGATGGAGTCATGGGGGCTCCAACAAAGGAGCCTTAGGCAAGGCCCCCAACCTTTCTGTTCCCTTCTCTGTGTAATGGGAACATCAGAAATGAGCACTTGACACGCATTATTTAAGCATTACAACAAAAGCCTTACAATGACCCAGGGTTGTTGTGGGACTTAGGTATATATTGGTGGTTGTAAAGTGCTCACATCTCTTATTCCCATTACAGAAAGCCCAGGAGAAGGCCCACGGCTAATGCTCAGTAAGGGCTACTGCTATTAGCACGGCGGGGAGGGGCAGTCTGGAGGCCTTACCTGTAAGTAAGGAATTCCCCAGACCATCAGGTTGAAGGCACACAGCATGGCCGAAGTCGCAGAGGGCTGCGCGGCTCCCGTCGCTGGACAGGAGCACATTGTCAGCTGCCAGGCCGCCCCGGGGAGAAAGAGGAACAGGTGAGTCATGTCATGCCCCAGCCTACCCTGGCTTGGCTTGGCCTGGACCTCCAGTGAGGTCATTTTCTGGCTGACCCTACAGGGCAGCTGCTGCGTCTGCTTAGTTTCATTAGTCATAGAAGATGGGAGGAGGGTATCAGCTCAGGCTAGAGGCAGGCAGCAGGCTGGATCTCTGAGGATGAGGGGACAGAAGCAGCGTTTGCTTCTGGACATCACCACTCAGCTCTGCTGCCCCCATCCTTTCCCAGTGGTCACCAGCGTGTAGGATCTTGGTCTTCAGTTCTCTGTGGGCACCAACACTTGGAACTATAGTGCCTCACTGAGGGCCTGGAGAACATCCTTCCCCCTCCCACAACCTGTCAGCCTGATTCAGGCCCTGCCACTGGAGATGACCAGGCAGGCCGAGAACAACTGGAAGAAGTCACCAGGCAAGATGGGGTGAGAGGGGAGCCCACTGGGGACCAGGGCCATGGGGGCCTGGGCCTCACCTTTGACATCTCCATGCAGAATCCTTCGTGTATGCAGGTATTCCAGCCCCTCCAAGGCCTGGCCCAGGTAGTAAAGGGCCCGGTCCTCTGGCAGACATCCCTTCTGCTTTATGAGCTGGCCTAGGGAGCCACCTAGGAGACCAATGGCCAGTCTTTACATAGGGTTTTCCCAGGCCTCCAAGCAAGCCAAGGGCAAGAGCGAAGGGCAGATGGTAGAAAAGCAGGCCTTTCCTGAAGATATCACAGGGTTAAGAGGTTAACATGGACTGATTAAAGGTCAAGACATACTGGGCAAGACTTGGGGGAAACCCTTGGTTCTAAATTTCGAGGGATAAAGGAGTGGGACTTGGTATCTTACCTTCCAGCAGTTCCATGAAGATGCTGACCCAAGGACCTTCCTTCACAGCACCATACAAAGGGACAATTCTGGGAGAGGTCAATCCTGCACATGCCACCAACTCCTCTGCCCTAAACACTTCAATTCGCACCTGAAAAGACCCAGAGGTGGTTGAGTCAGGGGTGACGGAGACTGGAGCTGGTTCCTCTGGCATCCTGTCAGGACAGAATCTGGTAACTGCTACCTGGTCATCTCTGGGCTCCATACACAGACTGCTGATGTTCCCAGTATCCATGAGGAGGCCGGGCAGCCCTGGCAGGCCTGCAGAGCCTTCAGAGACTAAGCTGTGCACTGTGTGCCCTTGGTGTCAGGTACAGCTTCTTGTGATTTACTAACCTTCTGGAGTGCTCACCATGTGTGAAACCGTTTATACAAAAACCACAGTCATTGTCCAGGCTATTGGCAGGCTGTCCAGCCTCAAATCTGCCACAAAGGACATTTTTATCCCCAGCCCAACATCTGGGAAATTTCTGGGACATGAGGCCTTTTGTTTATCAACATCCATGTCTACTCTTCAGAATCTGGGTTTCTGACTTATCTGAAGCTAGAGCTGATGCTGCTAAGATTCTGTCTCAGGCACCTCTGTGCAGAATCCCCAGTACCCTTCTCAGAAATTTTCTTAACTCATTTATAATTATCTCTTTCTCAGAGGACTCAAAGCTCCATGCAGTCAGGGCAGTGTTGAAGTTTATTCCGTTTGCGGCTGTTTCCCCAGCATCGGGACACAAAGGAGGCATCAAGGGATGTGTTGGCTGCAGAATGTAGGCCTGGAAAGGTCGTCCACTCCTTTCTGGAGGGAGTGGCAGCTTGGCATGGCGGGAAGATCCAGGCCTTGGATATGAACAATCCTGGGCTGAGGTCCCAGCTCAGCCATATCGAAAGGCAGATCACTTCTCCTCAGCTGGGGTGTTTCCATTGTGAACACGGGCATGATGGTATCTGCTCCTGGGGAAAGCGAGGACTTGGAGGGATGATACCTGGCACCATGCCTGGCAAACAGTGGGTGCTCAGGAAATGCTTGCTCCTCACTTCCTCCTTCTAATCTAAGCTTATTAAGCACTTAGACTTCATAATAGGGAAGAGTGCTCCTTCCAGGCTGCTGTGGCTGGTTCTTGTGTAAACTTTGAGTAGCATCACCAGGGGGCGCCAAGGGTACCAAAACCAGTTTGGGAGAAATCTGTCTGGGACTCAGCAGACTGTTGTTTGGAGATCTGCTGATGTGGCCAACAGCTCTGCTGATGGGGGGCCTTTGGACTTTTGCCTATCAGTGGAAAGTGTCTCTCTTCTGGTTACTTAAAGAATATTTGGTTAGGTTAATCAACTCACATGAACTTTGACTCTTCACTGTCAGTGTTTCCAGCTCTTTAAAAGGCCTCTGGATTTGAGTTGGAACTAATCCACCAGCAGGACTTGTATCAGCAAATGTGTAAGTGTTTTAACCCTACAGTTCCCAAATTGTGAGCTGAAACCCCCAGGGTACTGCAGAGAACGGAGGGGCCCAAGAGTGTCTTACATTAGAGGGAAAGGTGACGCTCGACATCAGTGGGCACTGCGTAAACTACTAGCTCAAGTAAGCTCACAGTTTCAACATTAGATCACACTAAGTTCCTTTTGATGATATATTTTGTGAAGCTGGGTTTTTGGAGGTTGCTGTGATAAAATGCAAGTACTCTGGGAGAAAAATGTGGAACAGGACACAGAGGTGGCGGTGTCCAATCCGATTTCAAGGCTCTAGAAGTTGAGCAGCGCCCATCAAGGCCTCCATCCCCTCAGTAAGTAACTATGGTTGTTTAAGAGTGGAATAAAACTTTTTTCTTTTAATTTATGTGTATTTTTCAAATGGCTAAGTTGTTCGGACAAATATGTTATTTGACCTAACTACCTGATAGACAGAGCTGTTAGGTGTTTCTTTTGGCCAGAGCCATCATGAAAAAACTGCTGGGATATTAAGGACTGTGAACCAAACAAGTTTGGGAACTTCTGCTTTAACCCTTAAAGAAATCTGTATGTCTTCTATAGCGTACGAAACCTGTTGCTGTTGAGCGGATTCCGACTCAGAGTGACCCTACAGTACAGAGCAGAACTGCCCCACAGGGTTTCCAAAGAGCAGCTGGTGGATTCCAACTGCCGACCTTTTGGTAAGCAGCCATAGCTCTTAACCACTGTGCCGCGTTAAAAATATCTCCAATCACCCAGAGCAAAGTGGGGTGGGGTGGGGGAATACTTCAAAACACAAGGTGCTTCTTTAGAAGTCTGGGCCAGTCCCAGAGAGAGGGAGAGGTGAAAGGCCAGTCAGGTGGGAGAAAGCGCCTGGCCTTCTAGTCCAGGTCTTGCTGCCCACCTGGCCCACCTCCCCTCTCTGGATTTTAATGTCCTCACCTTACTGGACTGTGATGAGGATGTTAATGAGAATATATCAATGCCTACTTAACACTGAGCATTCTAACTGTTCTAAGCACTTTACAAGCATTGGTTATTTACAACTTATAATAGCCTAGGAGGTGGTATTATCATTATCCCTATTTTATAGATGAGGAAGCTGAAACCTGGACAAGTAACTTGTCCAAGGTCACTGCGTATCAGAGCCGGGGTTTTGGTCGGGGAAGGCTGACTCCAGAGCCACCAGCCACGCTGTCTCCCTGAAGGCCTTTCCAGGTGTAGTTTCTCCATCTGGGCCCTTCAGGAGCAAGCACACCCAGGTGGGAGTGTGGTCAGCAATCATCTAGCTGTCTTGGCCAGAAGCAGCTTCCTTCCATTGAATTGCCTTCTTGAAACTCTCCCCTCTTGTTTTCTTTAGTATTCTCACCATTTTATTTCCTCTGTAAAAAGGGGGCTGACAGAAGAACTAGATGGTGCCCGGCTACCACCAATGACCACCCTGACAGGGAATACAACAGAGACTCCCTGATGGAGCAGGAGAGGGGTGGGGTGCAGAACTCAAATTCTAGTAAAAAGACCAGAGTTAATGGTCTGAGACTGGAGGATCCCCAGAAAGCACGGCCCCCAGACTCTCTGTCAACCCAGAACTAAAACAGTTTCTGATTCTGAGGCCAACTCTTCAGACAAAGATTGGACTGGACTGTGGGACATAAAATGATACTCGTGAAGAGTGTGCTTCTTAGCTCAGGTAGATACATGAGACTAAACGGGCAGCTTCTGTCCGGAGGTGAGATGGGAAGGCAGAGAGGGTTAGGAGCTGGTTGAATGGACATGGGGAACCGGGGGTGGAAAGGAGGAGTGTGCTGTCACAGTATGGGGAGAGCAATTAGGGTCACATCATAATTTACGTATAAATTTTTGTATAAGAGACTAACTTGAAATGTAAACTTTCACTTGAACTACAACAGTAAACAAAAAATGGTGGTGGGGGGGGGGGCTGACAGCAATTCTGTAATTCAATTCCAGCTTGCTCTCATCCTGTGTAGCCTGACCTCTGATCCTTGGCCCACCTCTGAGGCCCTACCCCCTTAGCAGGGACTGTTCCTCATCTGGTCTTCCAGCTGAAAATCCTAAAGCAGTCTGCCGTAGCACCCCCTGTGAGAGAAAGGATGCCAACAAGCCATCCCCACTGAGTGCTCTTGGACGGGGAGAAGGGAAAGTTCTGAGAGGGGCCAGCTCTGGTGCTGGGCAGTCTGCGTGTTGTGGTTGGAGCTTTTCCGACTGCCTTGGGGAGGTGAGAAATGTAGTATTTGTCCTCTTCTACTATATTAGGGTTGTTTATCTTGTTGCCTGGGACTCTGGGAGCCTCAGCAGGGGAACAGCTGGGAAGCACAGTGACTAAGTTCCCCAGCACTGGGTGTTCATCTCCAGGACACTTCACACTCTTTTGCCCTCCTCCCGCCTGCCTCTCAGGAGGGGACAGCTGAACCTTCTCTGGTAGCCTGGGGAGGGGAACTATAGCTGAGGAGGTCAGGCACGTGGCCTTGGCATCCAAGTGGAAGATGATGACCCATGATGGCAAGAACTCAGCATGTGTTTCTGTGTGTGGGGGGTGGTGAGGGGTGGAGCTTCCTTGTTTGATATAATATGTTTGAAGTTTGGGGTAATACCTATGGATAGTCCCCTTTCTCGTCTTATCACCAACTTGAACATCCTGGCCCGTGAACAAACCAGGGAGGCCAGGTGTATTCAGATCACAGTTGGTATCCTCACCACTTAAGCACCTGCTGCAGTGGTGGTGGTGCCCACGCTGCACGGAGCCTGAGCACGCTGGGCCTGCCTGGCTGGCTACTGAAGGAATAGCCACTTGAAACAAGGTCCATAGTTCACTTTATTTCACCCTGACCAATTAGCCAAGGAAACGGCCCATGGAAATGTTTCTGAATTCAAGCTTCTGAGGTCCTGGTAGCACCAGGTCTGAGGCTGAAAGTCTAGGCCAGGGACAAGGTGGCTTCTAATCAAGGTGAACTGTCAGGGGGAGGAGAAAAGATGGCTGAGGCGGGTGCAGGGCTGACACCCTTGAGGTCTGTGGATCTGCTGCCACTGCTGCTGATTCTGGCTGGGCCTGGTTGGTCTGATTTGACAGAGGCAGGAGACCTCAGTTCTATGCCCCCCATGTGGCCATGGACAAGTCTCGCTATCCTCTCCAGTCCCCAGCTCTAACCAGCGAGCTGTGGGGGTGGAAGAGATGTTTCATTCCTCCTGCCACTAATCAAAATTCCGGGACCACAAGTCTGCATCTCTCCCCACCCTTCCTGAAGAGCGGTTCAGAGCACAAACTCCAGGGTCAGACAAACCTGGGCCTGAATCCTAGTTCGGTCACTAGGCCAGTTACTTAATCTCATGTCGTCTCATTTCCTCTTAATACCCATCTCTTAGATCTGTTGTGAGGAACAAAGGAGATAACGTATGTATTGTTCTGGCACACAGTGTTTAGTGATTTGTAGCTACGATCAGTGAAGTGCTTACCAGGTTCCAGGCACTGCGCTGAGCAGTTCACACTTAACATTCTCTCTTCCGGTCCTCTCATGAGCCCTGGGGCTGAGGACTGCTATCCCCACTTTACGGACGAGGAGACAGACACATGCTTGTCCAAGGTCCCACAGCCCAACTCAAACCAGATCGCTCTGACTCCCAAAGTGTAGGGCCCCCTCCTGGGAGGCACCTGATAGGTGGAAGTTATTGCTCTGGTTATTACCTTCTGGTCCAGGTCGGGGTGGCCCCACTGTGTGGTTTAGAGGTTTTAGCTCAACATGAATTTGTGACGAGCCAACCATCTTCCAGGTTTTGATTTGTCCCTAAGGGCCTGGCATTTATTTAGAGTGGTCCCGACTGTATTCAGACACCAAGGGCTGCAGATGGCTGCATGCACCCGTTCATACTCCCTCTCACGTACACACATACCAAGTGCAGCTCCCAGGCCAGGACATGTGACCAAGACCACCCCTTCCAGTTCCAGATGACCCAGGGCTAGCGAGTGCCAAGCTCTGACAGACCCACGCTGCCCTGCTGCTGTGCTCGAAAAAGGCAGAGGGAACATAACAGGCCAGCTGCTGGCTTCCCTCTTCAGCCCCTGGCATAGTTTTTTTTTGGGAGGGGGGGGGTATGCATACCTTTTTGACAGCACACTGGAAGCCAGTCTGCTTGTCCTCCATCCTGTGTACCTCTCCGAAGGAGCCTCTGCCCAGGCGGGGCTGGTGTGTGGCCCAGTGAATCTCCTCTCGGTACTCATAATCCACCGGCTTGAGTTTCTGGGGTTGGCAGGAGAGACAGGCCAGTTTCAGTGGCCAGGGCAGCAGAGGGATGAAGAGCTACAGTGAGGAAGGCTCTCACAAACAAAGATACCACTGGGTCTGAGGTGGGGCTCTGAGGGGCAAAACCAGAGGTGGGCTTACAGGAATAGAGTAACAGCAGAGGAGAGCCATGGGCTGCCTGAGGTTGCCGACCCTCGTGGTGAAGAAACACCTTTTCCCCAGAATTGTGGTTGTGGGACAGAAATGGAATTGTAAGCAGCCTTGACAATGTAAAAACATGGTAAAAGAAAGGGGAGAACACTGAAGAGGGGTGGGGGTCAAGGGATAATGTTAAAAGTGGATGGAATAAAACCCAGAAATTGAAGCTTGGTCAAATCATTTAAAGTCACAAAGTTATCCCGTACGAGAACAAGAGTAAAAGGGGCAAGTAGGGGGCTAGTGAAGATAAGCAAAATCCTCATCTTTTATATCAGGGAGTCATTAGATCATATCTGAAGTAGATAAGAGATATGCTTACAGTCTGTTTCTTAATATCTGTATTATTCATATAATATGCGTACACACAAATACTTTAGCATCAATGAGGTAACTAACCAGAATAACTAAAAGCAGAAATAGCTAAAAAGACTGACAAGTGAGCCTGGAGGTGGAGTGGGAGAGTACTGCTTTCCGTCAGTGACAATTTTCTACTATCTGACTTGTTACCGTGCGTATGAATGACTTTAGTAAAGAAAGAAAAGCAGCCTCCAAAGGGTGGGAACTTGAGAGGAAGTCTGGCAGGTTTTGAGTGATGCCTCTTCTCCCATAGCTGGTCCCACAATGACTCCCAGCTGCTGCTCTTGGCCCCAGAGTTGGTGGTATTTGTGTGCGCGTCTGTGAGCGCGTGCAAGAGAGAGATTGGGGGAGTAGTTACCTCATTAAGCAGGACTCCCTCGCTGTCCTCAGTTTCGGGGCTGGGTCCCTGCATCCTGGGGCCCCCTGCCGACCAGGTCTTGGCCAGGCTGGCCAGGCTGTGGGCCTGGCCTGAGCTCACACTGCCCTGCAGAGCGTGTACCAGGTATTCCTCCACAGAAAACTTCTCACAGGTACCACGTGATGGACAGCTGGGCTTCTGGTGTGGGCCAGGCAGGGGCTTCTGACTGTCTATACATGCCAACTTGCCCAGGTGTGGGCCAGGCAGGGGCTGCTGGCCATCTGCACATGCCAGTTTGCTCAGGAAGGACTCCAGGGGGTGAGGTTTCCAGGGCTGGAGAGGGTGGAATGGGAAGGGATGGGGCAGTCTGCTGTAGGGGAAGGGGTGAACGGGTTGGGGCAGGGGGCCCACATCCTGGGGGTGGTGGAGTTTCCACACATGGTTCAGACATTGCAGGGGGCTGATCAGCTTGTGGAATTCTGATCGAGGAAGTGCTGGCCGCAGGCCCTCCCCGAGTTTCTTAAAACATAGTTGGCCAAGGCTTGGCTCCTGCAGAGGCTTGATAAACTGGGGTGTGTTTCTAACATATGAGGAGCCTAGTGGAGACTCATCCTCCTGTGGGGGAAAACACAGCATTAGGAATAGGGCCAGGGCCAAGGCACAGGCTGCTCCTCAAAGGATCCATTCTGGAGGCCCATGAGCCTGGGGTCTCACCTGCACCGGGACTGTGCAGCTCTCCTGCTCGGGGGTCCTGGGGAGAGGTTTGGCCAAGGCCACTCCCGCCTGAGCCAGGGCCTTCGAGCTCTTCTTCTTCCGTTTCTTCCGGGCTTTGCTGCGCCGCTTTCCCTTCCAACATACAGGGGCCATTTTGCCCTCAGTTGCATGGGCCACATTGTTGGGGATTTGATCAAGACTATCAGACTGGCTGTCAAAAAAGGGACAGATACTCATTTTGAGTATGAGGAGGCAGTAAGACAGAATGTTTCAGGACAGCGGCATCAGAGTCATACAGACCTGTGCTCAAATCCTAGCTTTGTTATAACTTGTGTGAACGTGGAAATGTTCCTAACCCCCCCATAGATTTCTGTTTTCTCACTTATAAAATAAGCAGAGTATTTTCTGCCATGCAAGGTGGAGATGAAGTTTAAATGAAGTAGTTCATTTAAAAGGCCTATCCTGGTGCCTGGCCCCAATAAGCAGTAGTTATTGCTATCGTGATGAGGCATACACTTAGCTCTTCTTGAGGAAACGGTGGTGGTGGGAGACACACAGTTCTCTCACTGCTCACGTGGGAGCCATCCTCCATGGCCTCATCTCTCGCCTCCCGCAGGAAACTCAAAGGTAGCGGGTTAAGCCCAGGCCTGGGGACAGCTAGAGGCCTACAGACCGCTGAAAGAAGTGGGTCTGTCAGAAACCCCCTACCCTAAGCCAAAAGGCATCTGAGGCAGCTTCAGGAATTCTACCAAACACTGAGCATTTCTTGGTTCAAGGAACCAGCCCTCATCACAACATTTTCCTCCACAGCAGTTTCCTAATTCCAGTGATAAAAAAGTCTGCCTGGTGGTAGAAGATGGAATTGTTTCTAGGTTCAACTCTTGGTTGTCAAAAATCATCTTTAGGGGAATGGGGAGACTGGGAACTGATAAGCCTCACCTCTAGCTTCCTTTCTACAGGGCTACTGAGCTGCTCACATTTTACATTTCCACAACCCTCATCCCTACTTGGGTGAGCCTCATAGGAGGAAAGACGCCAGCAGGTTTCCCCCACAGAGGGCAGTTAAAGTGGCACCTCTGGGGCTTTCACTGATGGTCACACACCAGTGGGAAAGCAAATCCTATTCCCAGCACCCTCCCTACTGATGGGAAGCAAGGGGTGCATCAAGGACTCTGAGGAGAATAAAAATAAAACGTCAAGCTGATGTGACCCAGAGGCAGTCTACCAGCATCCACGAGCTGTGAAAAGCTTTTGAAAAGCTTATTTGGCTAAGAGACCAGCTGAGCCAGGAAAGCCTGGGCTGGTTCCAAGAGCTGAACCACAGGTGCTGAGGAGGCAGCCAGGGGTCACTTGGGAGCAGCCTGGGCAAGCAGCTGGGGGAGGGAGGACGCTGCCCTCAATTCCCTGCCTTCCCAATCAAGCTTGCCTGCTTACCTGTACTGTTTGGACCCAGCGATGAAAATTCGTTCTGAAAAGGTGGGACTGAACTCTTGGCTATTCTCACCTTTTAAATAAGGGGAAAAGAGTTGGATAGAGAACAGAGGGGAGAAGAGAAAGAACAGAAATTCAGCACTTCGGAGAGATACATTTTACAGCTGCCTTCTTGGGCCATTCTTCTCCCGCCCACCCAGACCCACCTCCACCTGGTGGCTCACCTCCCTACCATCACCTCTTTCTCTTACTACCTGTCCTCACCTCTCGCTCCCCAGCCCAGCAGTCATGAGCAGAGGGCGTGCCTGTAATATGGTGACCATAAGGGTGCCCACCTCACCTCAGTTACTGTGACACTTAAGTAAGATAATCCACATAAAACACTCAACACACGCTGGCACACAGTAACGGCTCAATAAATATAAGCTATTGTATACATATCTGTATGTTTTTTGGTGTCCCGGAGTGGCACAAATGGTTAAGTGCTGGACTACTAACCTCCCCAACCCAAGAGGCATAGTTGGGGGGTGGGCAGGGGAGGCATATGCCCCTAGGCGCAAGTCCAAGGGGGAGCCAGATGAGGCTGGCTGGCGAACCACCCCCCACATCGATGGCTTGCTGCCCTCGCTAAGCCTCTGCCTACCCCCTTGCTACTCAGAGGCGCATCAGAAGTAAGTGTGGTGATCTGCTTCTGAAAGATCACAGCCTTGAAAACCCCATGGAGGAGCAGTTGTACTCTGCACACATGGGGTTGCCATGAGTTGGAATCGACTCAACGGCAACTAACAACAACATAATTTTTCACATTATCTCATTCACTCTTTTTTAAATTTTTATTTTCTCATTGCTCCTCAAAAACCAACCCGAAGGAAGTGGAAGATGAGGAGAAGAACGTGTACATGTGGGAAATGCCTTCACAAACTCTTGGGTCTCTCCAGGCTCCACCAAGAAACTGCCTGAGTTGGAGGGTAGAGTGTTGAAGAAAAGGAAGACTCCTGGCCCTACCCAGGCCTCCTAAGAGTTTCTCTGTCTGCCAGGCACAGCTACCATTACTAGTCATTTTGAGGTATCTTGAGCGGATGCAGAAGGACCAGGCTAGGCCTCACCCTCCAGTGGCTTGCTGCTCTAGACTGGCCCAACAGGACCAGAGCAGGTGTTCACTCTTTGGGGTGGGGCCACCTCTAGGTAGAAAGTGATGAAGGGCCTACAGGCCCCAGAGGGGCTTTCCAAGAGGCCTGGCCTTTCCTGTCTGGGGCTTCTCTTGAGTTGCTCAGCTGCTCACGGTCACAGCAGAATGCTGATGTCCTGCTCACTGAGCCTGCACAGAGTGCCCAGGACTGGAAAGACGGCCCAGGAGCCCAAGCATTCCTGCCTCCTAGCTCTCCTCCCCTGCTCTGGCCACAATGGGCAAAAACCTCCACTTGCCACTTCGCCTTTCTTGTTCTCTGTTTCTCAGGGCTTTTATAGCTCCCACTTGGTTATTGGCTTAACCCCCGTGGCATCTTATGAGAATCTTACATAGCAGTCACCCTGACCTTCCTCTTCCATAGGGGGACCCTGAGCCCAGCCTCATCTGTGCCCGGCCACCTTTGCACAAAGGACTGCCAAGCTGCAGGCCCACCTGCAGGCCTACCCGTCTGCCGTTTCTGCCAATAGCCCTGACCCAGTAGCTCTTACATTCGGCCTGGGCAATGATGGAGATGGCAGCCAGTCCTCCCTCGGAGCCTTCCTTGGCTGTGCCTTTGGTAATCACATCGTTCAGGATATCCCACTTCCCGCAGAACACGGAGCTCTTCTCTGAGGCCTTAAGCTTGCACATGGAGCTTTGATTCTTCCCCACTGTCTGCGCCTTCTCCTTGGCTTTGGCGAGCTCCTTCTGCTGCCCGACTGCCGAGCCAGGGGTGCCTGGACAGGCCATTTCCATCACTGCCATCTCCCAGGCTCACGCTCACCCTGAGAGAGACCAAACACAGAGCAGGTCACCATAATCCCAGATGCCAATGGGCCTAGATCAGGCTTGGGTTGGAGAGAAGTAGGAGGGAAAGGGCCTCTGCCTCTTCATGCCACATGTATTTATTTTCCAACACCCTAAACGGTAAAGGAGTCAACCTCTCAGCATCTACACATGCACCATGTTGTGTGTGCCCTGGCCCTGCCAGCTCCCCAGCATAAACGAACTCTTCCACTCTGTCCAACAGGATTCCGGAACCATCTCCTCTAGGACAGTGACAACACAAACATCTGGGCTGCCTTTTTCTTGCCTTTATAATGGCTGAATCTTTTTCTGTTGTTGGTTTTACGGCAAATATATGCTCCCCTAGGAAAGGGTGGTGGATCCTACCCTCCAAAACCATCCGTCACCTCACTGACCCCACACAGGCCTTGCCTTCTTAGAGCACTTGTCTATACCCAGCCACAGTAGCTTTTCTCCAAATGGAGAGAATCAAGTTTTTGTTTTTGTTTTTCCCAGCAGAAGGTATATATGTATGTATAAGTGTGAATGTGTGTATGTGCATGTATACATATACATATATACATACACACACACATATGTATAAATACACACATATGTATAAAGTCTTAGAAAGTCTAAAATCAGCATGCAAATAGCAGAGCTCAGTAGTTTGCTTCTTTCCTAAGAGGCATCTGTTTGTGGCTCTCTAGAAGGAACTGACATGCTTCCTTCTATAACGTCCTAACTCATTTGCTGAAAACTTCTTCTAGGTATCATTCCTCTTTCGGGCAACATTAGTAGTGGAATTTATATTAGAACCCCAACACCAACCTATAGCTCTAAAAATATGAGGACAAAGAACAAGAATTCAGTTTTATCTGGGTTCTATCTCGGCCAGCCCTGTCTGTTACCAAGGAAGTGACAATATGTCTGAATAGCATGGAGACCAGAACTGTCATGGAAGACAACAGCACTGGTCTGAGATTGTCACCATTTGGAAATCTTTTTAATGACCAGGACTGTGGACTCCCAAAGGGCAATGCACCTCTGGGGTGTGACTTGCTTTAGACAAAGCCTGGGAAGGAACCAAATGCAGCCAGGTTTTTAATAACTGTCCTCTGATGAGAGTTTTAAAACAGTAACTAACAGCTGTAGTCTTCCCTCCTGTAACTCCATTAAATCTAGATCACCCCTTCCATTTGCTCTTGGGGAAGAAAGACAGATCACGTAAAGCCAAACCTCTAATGTCTCTGGCCCTTGGCCCGTGAGACCGTGGGAAGCTGGGAAATACTAGGTTGAAGCCTTCTTCCTATTGAATCTCCCTCACTCATCTTTCCCCACCACATGGGCTACCAAAGGCTGAGCCAACTTGATTGGGGGATGGGGTGAGGGTGGGGGCAGGGTTTGTTGGCGACTATTAATTTGATCCTGGCACCTCTGCCTTCAAGGGCCTCCTCACCCTCTGAACTCCAAGCAGCTCCCAGCTTCCAGTATGGGCACCTGGATCCTGTCCTGAAGGCCAGACACTGAGGCGGCTGACTGGGCAGCCTCATGGTTATACGATGATCTTCTGAAGTTTAAGGAGTATCCTGATTCCTAAATTAGAGGAAAGCCCTCCAAGGTAGGGTAATTTTCTTTTAACCATACTTTCACCTCACCCCATACCTCCCCAACTCCCTGCCCCTCCAAAAAAGAATTGATCTAGGGCCTAGAGTATATCCTACTTTTCTCAGCCTCTTTACCAAGGGAAATGAGATGTTAAAAAAACAAACCAAAAAATTTTCAAACCTAATGGTATTAGAGGTTTGCTTACAGGGATCTTGACATTACTTTAACCTCCTCAGTTTTACTTGAAAAAATTGAGACCTAATTAAGTGGAGGCTTGCCCAAGCTAACCCAGCCCATGTGTGGCAGAGCAGGGCAGGACCCAGAACCCAGGGCTTTTTAGGCTGTGTTGCCCATTCCCGAAGTCTCCTGGGTTACAGGAAACACAAGGAAGGGGAACTCTTGGTTTTCCCTGGTCAGAACAGTGTACACAGTTGTGCCCCCAGTATGTAGCATAGCAGGGCACAGATCAGACAATGGATGTTGGCTGAATGATGGGATCAAAGGGTGAAGAGTGCTTTTCTATGCCTTTCAGAGACAAGATGAGCCTGAGCACTGGGGATAAAGAGAGCCCATTTGACTGATGAGAAAGATGAGGCTGAGTGGTGCATAGCTTGTTCCAAGGGCACTCAGTAGTCCAGTGATCTAGCTGCCCTCGAGCTCAGAGAGCCTGTCTCTCTCTGGTATGGCTCACCGAGTGTTCTGGATTGCTCATCCTGAGCTAGAGCTCCTCCAGAGAGGCTGTGGGGCATCCCCTTGCCCCTGGGAGCTGTCCTTTCATCTTGTGGTTAGGTAGGCAGCTGGCCAGGGGCCCTGTTTCTCCCTCCATGAGCACACCAGCCTTCTCCATCCCCAGAGAAGAAGCTGAGGCTGAGGCTGAGGCAGCCAAGCTCAGAGCCTCCTTTGCAGTTCCCTGATGACTCATTCAACAGCCTGGCAAGCAGAGAGAGTAACAAAGAGACTGTTGAGAAGCTGACCCAGCAGATGGCAGCTGAACCTGTGAAGGGCACGGGGAAACGGACTGACCCTCACCTCCCAGAGGCACAAAATCATGCCCTGAGAGCTGTAAAGCTTCTCCTGTGGCTCTTTTCCTATGCCACATGACCATGACTCAGACCCTCACCGATAGCCTCCAAGTTCAAGAGACTATTCTTGGGACACATTGGCCTGACAGCAGCACTCCTACATACACACATGCTCACTCCCCTTTCTTCCCCAACTTCTGTATGGGTTCTGGTCTACAAAAAGAAAAAAAACAAAGTTCTGCAGTAAGCCTGGGACTGCTGGCCAGGTGGCCTTCCCAGCCCTGGGCTTCGGCCCCTGGCTCGTTCCCCAGCGCACAGCCCCACATCTCTACCCCTTGTCCCTCCTGCAGCTTATGGGGGAGGCAAGGACTAAGTGGGAGCTAGTTATGTTTCTGCCTCTGAAGGCAAGTCAAAATCCTGATCCATTACTCAGCCTGGACACTCTCCATTCCACTCAGGCCTCGAATGCATTTTGACCCTGATGTTCTCTGTGTCAGAGCTGTGAACATGAGCAGTGGCAACAGCCAAACCCACTCAGCCCGCCCACAAGTTCATGAAAACAAAAGAGGAAAGGAGAAGTAGAATTCATTCAGTATTATTTTAGGACCTGATGCATGTACAATGCCTATTCTCTCTCCTGTGGAGCCCTGATGACACCGTGGAGAAGTTTGGGGGGCAGGAATGACTGGCGTGGTACCAGAATCAACCCCAGGTCCTAGCTGTGTGATGTGCCTGCTGTGAGCAAGGCTCCTGAGTCCTGAGACTGAACGTGGCTCCCCACCAGCTAGTAAAGGTCTTTTGTCCAAGTTGAGGAATTAAATCTGAGTCCAAGGATGGCTTTAGGGAGAACTGTGAGTCCCCAGAAACAATGCGCCATTTGTATTTTTCCAAGAAAAGAGGTCCATAGCTTTCATCATATTCTCAAAGGGTCTGTATTCCCCAGAAGGCTGCTCTAGTATCCCTAAAAGATAAGCACGAGAGCAAAATGTTCGATTCTGGCTCTGTCCTTCCAATCCAAGGAAGAGATCTGTAACTCGGCGGTTTCCAACCTGACTGTAAGTTAGAATAACCAGATGACTTCTTAAAATCACTCACCCTAGGCTACTGAATCAGAACCACTGGGCATTAGGCCCAGACCTGTACTTTTGACAAGTTCTCTGGATGATTCTGATGCTGAGGGGCCAGGGACTACCATCTGACCCTGCTCTATACTCTAAGGCTGCACCACCCAATATGGTAGCCATTAGCCACACTTTCTATATAAATTAATTGAAAATCAGTTCCTCAGTTACACTAGCTACCATACTGGATAGTGCAGATGGAGAACATCTCCACTGATGCAGAAAGTTCTATTGGATGGCACTGCTCTAAGGCAATAGCAACGTTTTCTCTGACAGCAAAACTCCCGCTCCTTGGATTCTGGGACAGAATGAATGAATTTTTTATTAACTGGAAGGTACAAAAATAATGTTTTAGGTTTTGCTCTTTAATGATGGTAACTTAAAAAATGTATCCTATTTTAGTTTCCTGCTTTAGTAAGTACAGTGTAATGAAATCACCAGACTAGGAACTTTTTGTTTTTTTTAAAAGCAGTGGGACCATTTTTGTCAAATGAAATCATACCTCAACCCCCAATATATAAAAGACCTAGAAGCATGCAACTGGTATGTAACTCACATGAGAAACAGCTGCTCTGGGTAAGAGTGTGGGAAGAGCCCCATGTGCTCAGCTTCCCTTCGTGCTCAGCTTCCCTTCGTCCACCAAGGACCTCTGTGGAGTCTTGGTCTTTGAGGAAGACCGTTTGAAAACCAGTGCCCTAGCAAATCTTTTGAGGTTCCTTCTAGTTCCAAAAACGTAAAGATTTGTCAGGATTAATTTAGGGACAGAGGACTCCAATTCAAAACAATAACTGTCACTGTTTATTAAGCACCTACTGTTACTAATCTCATTTTCAGATGTGAAAGCTGAGGCTTAGAGAAGTTAAATAGGCTGCTAAAAAAGTTTCAGAGTTACAAGTTGTGGAGATGGGGTTGAACCAGGCTGCTGCCTTCTGAGTCTGCAGGCTAAACCTGAGCAGGTAACTTAATTAACTTCTCTGAGTTTCTTTTCTTTGTTCTTCAGAGTTGTTTTGAGGACTGAGTGAGGTAAAGTATATGAAATGCCAATCGGTTTGCCTGGCTCATAGAAGATGTTAAATGAATGTTCATTCCCTTGTCCTTACCAGGCTAGTGAACATCGTTACTGAGATGATGGGACTTCTCTGTTTCGGCATCATACAGTCAAAGTGCCTTGCACCTTTCCTAAGGCATTCAACACCTTGAGCCTTGGTTCTCCCACATATAAAAGGGAAATAAAAATCTCCATCTTACAGTGCCACAGTGACCATTTCTCCTCTTGAGAATGTCCACTGAGGGGCCAGGGCAGACCAGGGCAAATCCCTCTCACGATTATTTCATCTGGAAGTAGAAACTTGTCCTTCTCTGAATGCCCAGAGGGACAAACTGCAGAAGTGTAATGACTCAACTTCCTTAATAAGATATTGGTTGAAAACCAATCTCATCCTGATGCTTCCTCTTTTAAGCCTTCAGCTTGCCCAGCCACCAGGCCACAATGGGAAAGGCCAGCCTCTGCCAATCAAGAACGAGGGGCTGTGGCCAGGAAGGGGAACCAGAGGCAAGTGGTCGGCAGAGCAAGCGGGCCTGGCAAAATAGCCATCTGGCCAGGCAGACACAGTGGTCCCTATCCACGCTCAGCCTGGCTCCCCTTCTGCTCTGCCTGCCCTCCCCGAGCCCTGGCCCCCAGCCTCTATTCTAGCCAGACTGTTCCCTCCACTTGCCTAAGCAGGACTGCAATGTGCAGACCCGATTCTTCTTCTTTGCTTGCCCTGTCCCTCCCATAGACAATGCTTTCTTCATTAATGTCTGCCCAGATCTCATCTATCCTTTAAGACCTATCTCCTTGGTGAAGCCTTTTATGATAGGCTTCTTCATTCATTCAGCAAGTGTTCCATGAACGTCTCCTAAGTGCTAGGGGCTTTAATAACCACTACATTCACTAAATGCCTTCTGTGTGCTAGGCACTGAGCTATATGTTTTATCTAGATTACTGAACTTCACAGTAACCCTGCAAGGTTGATAATTTTATTCCCATTTTACAGATGGAAAAAACCAAGGTGCAGAGAGGTAAGTTACCTGCAGGAAGAAATGAGGCTCAATTTATACAAGTAGGGCATCTAACAAGGGTTTAGGGCTAACATCAAGACATTCCTGGCCCTTTCACCTGGGACCCAAAGATCCTCAGCTCCTTTCTAGAATAAAGGCTTGTTAGCAGAGGTACCTGGAACATTCAGGAACTGAGCAGTATTATCATCTAGGTGGATATTAAAAAAAAAAAAAGCCAAACCTGCTGCTGTCGAGTCGATTCCGACTCATAGTGACCCTAGAGGACAGAGTAGAACTGTCCCAGAGGGTTTTTAAGGCTGTAATCTTCACAGAAGCAGACTGTCACATCTTTCTCTTGAGGAGCAGCTGATGGGTTCAAATCACCAACCTTTCGGTTAGCAGCCGAGCGCTCAACCACTGTGTCACCAGGGCTCCTTAGGTGGATATTGCTACACCTATTTTACCCCTAGGATCTGCTCACTGTTAGTAACAATTTCTTAGATGATGTAGGCAGGAAGGCCAAGAATGAAAAATGAGGGGGGTCTCATCATTAAGGGCTGAATCAGTAGTAAATTTCTCAGACTTCTAGTTGAGTTATACCAGTACATGCTCCTGGGGTGTTAGAATTTTTAATTTAATTAGTTTAACACGTCATTTCAGCTTCTTAAAACAATCAAACCCACACATAACATACACATACATAAACCAGAGTTCCAGGCAGGATGGCGCTACCTTTAGTGAAAGAATCACTGAAAGATGTGCTTTAGCAAGAAGAAAAGTAAATCAGAGAAAAAAAAGCATGCACGAAATAATAGTAGGCATAAGAATTGATATGTTGGTCAATTTAATTAACAATGGAATGTAAAAAAAATTTAAAAACATTTAAAAAAAATTAAATTCTAGACAACAATGAAAAGGAAAAAGGTGGTGTGGGTTGTTCAATAAGTAAAGAGTGATACGATCCTTGCCTTCTTGGGAAATTTACATATGAAGATGTTTCAACTTCCTTAGAAAAAAATTACAGTTACATATTTTAAAATTTAAGGGTAACTACTATAAAAATAAAAATACAATTCATAGTTTCTAAACCAGAAGGATAAGGCAGGAAAATAGCAACCTTTTACATCTCTAACAGAAGACAAGGAAAGCTGGAAAAAAGAAGTAAAGAAAAAGGATAGTAAATATAAAATGAAAACACAAGCTAAGGTGGGAGAAATAAGTGAAAATATTAATATACCATTAATCACAATACACATGAATGGGTTAAGCCAATAGATAATTAGACTGCATTTAAAAAAATTTAGCTAGATGCTGCCTTATAGAGACAAAACAATTATACAGAAAGGTTGAAAATAAAGTGATGGAAAGAGATTGTCCGGCAAATACATGTACTCCTCACTTATCGACTACCTCATTATCTGACATTTCACATTTACAACAACAGTAAAAAATATACTATTTTGCACATTAACAATGTACGTCAGGCAGTAATGAATGCCGACATGCAAGGTGGATTAACAATGGCTGTGACAGTTAAGGTTATGTGTCAACTTAGCTGCGCCATGATTCTCAGTGGTTTGGTAGTTGTGTAATGATATAATCTGGCAGTTATGTAATGACGTAGTCATCCTCCATTTTCGCACAACACCGATTTTTGCATAACAACCTGGTCTTTGGAACCTAACCATGGAGATAAGTGAAGAGTGGGTGTACTAGTAACAAAACAAAAAACCCAAAGCATTATTAATATTGGACAAAATACTTAAGACAAAAAAAAAAAAAAGAACAACTTAAGACAAGAAGATACAACAATCACTTATACGCCCCCAATGACAGAGCATCAAAATCCAATGACTGGTGGCAAGTGGAGGCTTTGTGGATGAGTAGGTTCTTGGCTTCAGAGTGTTCTGTCAAACTGTAGAGAACTGTAGGATCTTAGAACACAGCATTCCATGAGCATGTTTCATGTTTGCTGGGTGTTGGGCCCTGTGCTGAGTGCTGGGAATACACTGAAGAAGAAGACGCAGTCCCTTGAGGAGCTAACAGTCTACTGGGGGAATGAGACAAGTAGTCAGACAATTACAATACAATACAGTAATACAATGACAGAGACAGACATGCAGCAGATGCAGTGGGAGCACACAGAGAGGCACCTAGTCCAGCGTGGGGGGTGTCACAGAGAGGCACCTAGTCTAGCGTGGGGGGTGTCATAAAGAGGCACCTAGTCCAGCTTGGGGGGTGTCATAAAGAGGCACCTAGTCCAGTGTAGCAGGTGTCATAGAGAGGCACCTAGTCCAGCATGGAAGGTGACATAGGGAGGCACTTAGTCTAGTCTGGGAGGTGTCATAGAGAGGCACCTAGTCCAGCGTGAGGGGTGTTAGAAAGAGGCACCTAGCCCTGTGTGAGGGGTGTCATAGAGAGGCACTTAGTCCAGCCTAGGAGCATCAGGAAAGGCTTCCTAAAAGGTGATGCCTGGTCTGAGTGTCAAAGGGTGAGCAAGAATTGCCCAAGAGAAAGGAAAGGGTATTCTAGGTAGAGGGGACATCAACAGTTAAGGTTCAGAGGTGAGTTTATTTGGGAATTATGAACTGCTTGAAGTTGCTGGTGGGTAAAGCTCACAGGAGATGAGAAGATGAGGAGATGAAGCTGGAGACCAACTTCACATACTAGATATAACCCCAGGATTTAAACTGTCAGAAGAGCGAGAGGGTATCATTCTACATTCCCTCAAACTCTTAGGGGCAGAGTTACAGGTGGAGAAACAGACAGGACAGGGGCAGATGGTAGATGCTGGGCATTAAGTGAAAATCCTGCCATTGGTACTGAACCTTCCCGGCCTAGGCTGACAATATTGCAAGTTACAGGCCTCTGGAAGGCTTGCTTAATTCTCTCAGACAGACAGATAGGCAAATCATCATTGGGGCCTAAAAACAGTCATGTGAGGAAGAAGAAACAGGCATCGCTGAGGCCCACACTAAGGCACTCTTGAGTGAAAACTCAGCTGGAGGAATCTCAAAACCTGCCTCACTTGCCAGCTTGAAGACTGCTTCCCAGGAGAGCAATTTCTGTATAAGCATTTCCCATTAAGGAGGCTATGAAATGTGAATGTACATTAATCATTAAAATCTTACAGATCAATCATAAGAAAGAAAACTGACATGCCCACAAAAACTCAGTCTCACCACCAATTCCGTAGGTCTAAATGCAGGGTAAATAAAATTTACAGAGTAAAATTTATGACTGTCCTCCAATTCCCACCACACTCCAGTCAATGCTGGCTAGCCCCAGGCATGCAAAAACACTGCCATCTTCAAGGCACCTTAGCATAGGTCTTACCCACCTCCAGCTTCTCCCTGACTCCCTCCCATCCCACAGTGATGCTAAGCTAATCTGAAAACATCATGTCCTTATAACTTCAAGGTCAAAGACAACTGATGGCTCTCCACTGCTTATGGCCCCAGTCCTAATTCTGCAGTCCATAATCTGTCTGACCACTGTTTCCCTAAACACAGGGTTTTGGCTCTGGCCATCTGATCTCTCCACAAACCCATACTCAACCCTACAGGTCTCCGAGTGTGCCATGTCCTTTCACGGTTGCCTGCACGGTCTGCCTGTCCTTCACCGGCAAAGCTCAGGCTTCCACCTCCAGGAAGCCCCTCCCAACGGCTCCACCACCCCAGTGGCCTCCTTTTCTGACTGTCTTCAGCACTTGGTCTCCACACTCTCCTCACCATTACCCTGGCATTTAATCACACACTCTTTTCTCTTTTACTCATCAAATGCAATATGTAGGTGAAAGAGCTCAGGAAACGATAAAGCATTATATAAACAAAGCCATTTTTTTGTGTGTACAACTCATAAAGTCTAAGTATGGTAATACCGAAAAAGATGCATAATCAGAGATGTTCCGGGTATTTTTATAATAGTAAAAAACCGGAACAAAAATGGCTAATTACAGGGCAGGGATAATTTTTAAACAAATCATGTTACAGCCATTAAAATGTTTACAAATAATTTTTAACAATATGGGGAAATGCATATAGGATACAAAGTTAACAGAAAAAGGACACAGAATTATAGGCTGTCCCTGGGTTACAAAGGTCCCAACTTAGGGACAACTCGTACTTGTCCCTCGATGTTAGGTAAATTTGCCCTCACCTTGAAATGACTGTACCAACCCCTACTCAAAACAAATTTTTCATCACAATCACCTTCACTTGCTGCATGTGTAGCTCTTCAATCCGTGAAAAGGCTTTGAGCTTTCTCTTACACTAAAGTAAGACTAAATAAGAACAGTATGCACCTGTTCCGACTTACCTACAAATTCTTAAAGTCGCACTCAACAACTGATCTCGTTTGCAACCCAGGGACCGCCTGTACAGCTAAAGTGTGATCTCATATAACATATGTCTATATACAGTGAAACTAGTGAGAGCCGGAACTCCACAGGATTGCCTTGTTTTTCCAGGTCTCCTAACTTTTCCACTTTTGATGGGGTGCAGACTTAAACTTTTCTATCACTTGTTTTAGTGGAAAATATTTGCGTTTTCCTTCTCTGACAGGTTTCTGCCTTACACAGGTTCTGGCTTCCGCAGGTTTTACTGTATCAACATTTATAAATACACAGACAAGTACAGCAATGGTTCTCTTTTGGTGGTGAGCTTATGGATGTTTTAATAATCTCAGTACTTTTCTAATTTTTCCACATTTTTTTTCGGCGAGCATATATCACTTTTCTCAGTTTTAATTTTTTAAGATAATATTTCCAAATGGTAAAAAAAATAAAAATACAGAAAAGCTATACAGTGAAAAGTGTAACTCCTTCCCACCCTTCCCCTGCTCCTCTGAGGGAATCCCGTTATCAGCTTTTTGTCTATTTCTTCAGAGCTGTTCTCTGTAGTATTACTTTTATGAGAAAAAGCTATAACTAACAATAGGTCTCTTGATGTGAGATGAGAATTTAGCAGGCGTCCAGTCCACATCTGTGAGTGGGGCTTAATAAACACTTGATGAGCCGCCTCCCCCAAACCCCCAGCTCCACTCCCCCACCCCCACCCCACAAGCTTCTCACCAGAACCTCTGTGGCTGGTCAGTGATTCTGGCAGCAGGGCCACTAAAACAGAAGGCCATCCAACAGGACCACTGGGCTGGAAACGGGCAAGCTTACGCCTCCAGGTTTTGGTTTTCATTTCACTCTTTTTTGTCCTCCC